ATAAGTAAATATGGCTTTCCTTAACGACCCTCTCATTTGAGCACAAGAACAAAGAAAAGGGTTGAGGGACCTCCACTGACAGCAGGCAAATCTAAGCCCCACACCACTCGACTCAATCCACAGCAAGTTTCAACAAGCTACCCTGATTCACTCTTCATATTACACACACACATATACAAACAGGTGCAGGAATGTGTAGCCACATGCTAGCTGAGCATAAATACTTAGGCCTGCTTCACTGAATGAGCGTCAACGGAAATCATGCACCAGCTACCTCCGACTAGCAAATGACCACCAGCACTCACCTCTAACACAGACTTTGGAGGTGTGGAAAAACATCCCTTTCTTGAAAAACTGAAAGCAAGTCTCCTAAAAAAGGAGACTTTTTGGAAGTTATAATAAAGCTATAAGACAGGTAAAGGGTAGACATTACACTACGTTGTTGAGGCTTCCCTTTGTTCTTTTAAATATGTTTTCTGCTTTTTTCCTGATGCTCAAAAATAAATAACTTGTACTTAATAGCAATTTGATCTGTATTTGCATAGTACTCTATGCTGATTCAGCCATGCAGTACTACCCATTCAGTGATGCATTTTTTAGAAAGCAATCATATTTTTACTACGGAAGTATCTGTGGTTCATGTGCGGACACTAAGACTAAGTTTACTCCCGGTCATCTGATGTGACTTGAACCTGGACTGTAACCTGATTTGAACCACATGGATTTACATTTGGTTATTAAAATCCAGCACTAGTTAGTCAGATTGCAGTACAGTTGACACATGGCACATAATATGCAAACTGGCTTATATGTAACAACCAATCGCCTGTATTGTCTCCTGTTCTATTCAGAAAATCACAGTTTAGCATGGTGGTCATTTCCATACACCAGCTTTACATCAGTGTTTACAAGCAGAAGCTGTTTAGAGTAATTAGCCTCATGTATGTAGGTGTAAACAGGGTCTGAGTGTACAGGAGATTAATACTGTTAGCACTTAAAATAAAATAAATGCATGGAGCATGTTATATAGTTAAAATTCACACTTTGGGGAAAAAAATATATGTTTCCCATACATTAGCTTAGTTTTAGGTCAAACATTAGATGAAAAAAACCTTTGGTACTTAGTAAAATACACACTCCACCTGGCTAGTGGCATTTGAGTAGGAGAAGATAAAGAGAACATAAAGAGATAAAGAGAGGCTGAAAATAGTCATGTAAAATGGATTATGACCACTTTTGATACACAACACCACACAAATGTCAAGCGAACCTCAGAGGAAAAATATAAAATGTAAGAACATGTAAGCTAAGAACCACTTAACCTCAGTCCAAAAATGTAAACCTAACCCTGAACCTAATCATTTTACCAGATAATTTCACCAGATTATTATTAGGTTATTAACAATGAGCATAAGTGAGCTATAAGTGACCATTAAAATAAACGTATGAACAAATATCTTTTCATATTTCAATGCTTTCGAATAAGTAAGCGTGAAGCCTCACTTTTAATAAGCGTTTTCATCTCCTCACTCAGGGAAATAAAAGACTGTGGCTGTTAGCCAGTAGTTCAGAGCAGATATCCTGGAACTTGCATGGTGCCCATATCGTTGCAGCCATGCCCTGATCAGGCCCAGGCAGGCCATGCAAAGATAACACTCATGATTTATAACACTCCTCATAATGCCAAAATACCACTCCATTACTAACAATGAACAGAATTTATGAGAGATGGACAATAATAATGGACAATAACACTTTTGATTAAGTACAGTTGAGCCACATGAAATGACCTTGACTATTAAAGGTAACTACTTGTCAATATCAGGCTAAGCTTGTGAAACATGACAGGTTGTTCTAACATGTAAGGCTCGCTGACCCAAACTTTAGCTGCCTTTCAGAGCTTAAAACATGCCTATTTAATGGGTCATTACCAATGAGGTATCAGTAGATTTCTTAAGCTAGAATTCAGACAAGGAATTTGGCAGATGCGTGTGACATTAAAGAAACTTTCACCTACTACAGCATGCCAGCAAGACAGAGTCTAAATATTGCTAAATAATCTCAGTGTTTCTCAGTTCAGCCCTTAGAGACCATCGATAGGCCACAGATTTGTTCTATCCCAACTTACAACACAACTGTACCGGATCATTTGTTCTGAATGTTCTTCAGATGTGATAGAAGATGGGACAAAGTAAAAATGGGGGTTCCTGGAGGACTGCATTGGAATTAATATGACTTAAAGGTGCAGTGTGCAAGATTTAGGGGAATTGATTAACAGAAATTGAATATAGTACATAGTTTTCATTGGTGATGAACTGTTGTGTTTTTGTTAGCTTAGAATTAGCCTTTTAGCAAAAACCTGACAGTCAACGTAGGTTCTGCTACACACTTGGAAAGGGAGGGGTGAGGGAGGGGTATTTAGTTGGTTGTAATCTGCAAGCTCACCGCTAGAAGCCACTAAATATTACACACTGCACCTTTAATATGAATTAATATTATTAATGGCAGCCTATTCTATTCTAAGCTGGCAAATTGCATTCTTGAGAAGGTCTTTCAGATGAATGGATCTAAACCCCCAGGTGAGCAATTGCCACAGTAATGCTACCAGCTCAACATCCTGAAGAGCATGTTAGAGAAACTCAAGGCTTTGGACCTCAACCAGGACTGTCAACTGTCTGAAAATTATGGAGAGTCAGTTAAAAAGATTCACTAATCTACAAGTCTGCTCTCAATTTCTGACTGCTTTCAGACATTCCTCTTAAATATGAGCATCTACACTGTATGGGTGTAATGATACTTTCAGGTTCAACATGATTTTGAGGTCAAGACACGATTTGGTTTGGTTAAGCTCAGAAAAATTCAAATATTGTTTCAAAACAAAAACTTGCAAAATAGCATGTTCTCATGCAAAATATGATCTTGCACAGCATCACTGAGCTACAAACAAAACAAAAATAGATAGGATGCAACCAGATGTCTAGTTTTTATCACTGGAAGTGGTTTCTGCAAAAGGTGGCAAACAAGAGATATTCAGGAGCGTAGGAGTCGGGCGTACTGCCAATAAAGTTTCAATATACTTTTTTTTTTTCCAAGAATGTATTGAAATCGCTACACCTGTAGTATCTCAAAGCCACTGTGACAATGATTGACCTATAAATCTAACAGGGTAGCTCTTCTTCAAAGTGAGTACACTCTTAATATATATGTCACTGCTGTCGGAACAAAACCTTGCATCTCCATTTGTGTCGTTTTTTAGTTTCTGACATAATATGAAAACGCCTGTTGCCCTTTACATTGTGTGTACATTTTTGATCACTGGACCCAAAGAAATGTCCTAAACTGACTTGGAAAAAAGTCTGGGTCCACTGACTTACATTAAAAGTAAAGTATGTTTTTTCCTTCTCCTATAAAGTTACCATTTTGGAGATAGGAGGTTTTGTTCTGACAACAGTGATATATACACTCCCATGCAAAAAAAACGGTATAACACTAAGCTTTTAATGGTCTTAAGAACAAATCATTAGTCGGTAAATTAGCAAGAATTAAAGAAATAGATGAAAGCAGCTTAGAATGTGGTAGCTTTTCCCTTTCTTTAAATGCTGAAGTCTTGTGGGTAAACTTGCAGACAGCCTCTTACAGAAAGAAAAGTCAATATTGTTCCACTCAGCACTGAAAGCCTCATAACTCTGCCAAGCTAGTTTGTGTTTAATATGAGACCAAATATTCTTTATATAGTTTAAATCTGGACTCTGACCAGGCCAAAACTATCAGTAAAAAAAACAGTTATTTGAGCCTGGCCCTTTTCTTTTTTTGCATGGGAGTGTGTACATGAATAAATGCATGTGTGTGTGTGTATTCTTCCTACAACCTTTTCATTATGTGGGTGTTCTTAAACTTTAAGGTTCTCCACACTCACATTTGCAGAAAAGGTTTTCTAAAGAACCATTTATTGAAAGGTTCTTTAGCAAAGTAGAATTGTTTCATATGGGATTTCGCAGGACCTGAGAACTACTGACATACTGGATTCAGCTCGCTCCAATCAGAATTACTTGCACCTCTCACTTCTGCACATAATATTACTGAAAACATCTGTCTGATTGTCGTCTATAACTGACAAAGTGTATAAATTAACAGCAAATGAAGGCTAAAAAACCGAGAACTGGCACGCTTTCTGTCAAGATCATTAGGGAAAGCAATGGTGTGTGTGTGAGTGTGAGAGTGTGTGTGTGTGTGTGAGAGAGATTTTTTTTGTTTGACTTTTTGGCAATTTGGCCCTTTTTGGCCTCAATTCTGAGGATTCACTTTTTAAAACCAACTCCCGACTCACGACATAAAAAAATACATCAAGCTAATCTATTCTAGACACAGATTTAAGAATGTAGTGTGCAGGAATGAAACTGAACAAATTTCACTCTCAGCTTAAACATTCCTAATACCGTCAGCCTATATGACAGTGGGCACTGTGGAGATGTTATAGGGCATCATGAAGAATGGACACTGAATTAATGATGGCATTAAATGTAACTGCACTCTTTGAGAAATAAAATTCACAAAAAAACAGCCTCAATCTACAGGTCACTCCATCATGCGCACTAGTCAGCCGTGCAGGAACACTGACAGTCATCTCTTTTCTCCATTTGTATTCTGTTCAAAATATCACGAGAATATCGAATCGTGAACTCAGCATAGTATCAAATCGAATGGTGAGCTGAGAGGATCGTTACACCCCTGCTACAGCATGTTATGTCTCTCTGAATAACTTGCAATACTTAATACATCTACAAAACACATTTGGGTGTCTGCTTTAGAGTATGTATATCTGTATTTTACTGTACATAAAATGAGTAATTCACATAAGAACTGGTGCCAAACTCTTGAAGGCTGTAGTGGCTTATTGTACTCCTGTAGTAAGTGTGTGAGACTTATCCTCGTGTTAGCCAAGCTCTTCAAAATAATAGGTGACACCGTCGGCCATGTTGACAAGCCACTATCAAACTCACCGACAAGGACGCAGAGGACGTCCAGGAGGATGAACACCTTCTTCTTCTTTAACTCCATCATGTTTGAGCAGCTGTCCTCTCACTTTCACACTCTCGGGAACTTCAGCTCCTTCAGCTCCACGCTGGAAACGCCAGCAAAAACACAACAACTGGCTGTGCGAGTTCTTCCGGATCCTCTGCTGCGTTTACCTGAGCACTGATTGCAGGATCGTCTCCACTCACTGACGCACACACAAACACTGAGGCGCAGAGACGGAGCCTGGTTTGGTTTGGTTATCTGCTCTCTCTATCTCTCTCTATCTATCTATCTCTCTGCCTGTGGAGTTTAGGCTGTAGGCATGAGTTCACGGGAGCGTCAGTGCATAGCAGGATTCTCAGGCGGAAAGAGGACGGCGGGGAAATCTCCAGGAAACACTTCTCACTCACGCTGCGGTGCGGTAGGTCGTTGACTCTCTCACCTCTCTGAGCTCTGCCGGCTCTCTACGACCTGGAGTTGACGTCATCGACCCACGCTCACTCTCACTGCCGCCCTCCGCCTCCTCCGCCTCCTCCTCTTCCCATGAAAAGCGGTCACAGCTTTTAATTCACATAAACGTAAGATCTGCTCAGCTAAAAACGTTTTAAAATTTCCGGATAACATCGAAACAGCTTGTTTACTCTGTAGCAACTACCTTGAGACACTTATTCACTTATTTCGCCATTGTCAATATGTGAAAAAATGGCAAAGCCTCAGTGCCTTTAGGCAGTTAGTCCTGCCGGAGGTGAAGCAGCGTTTAGCTTCTATGCTGTTCTTAAAAAAACTCCATCGATTTTTTTTTTTTTTTAAATCAGCATAATTAAATGGTTACTATGTAAACAAAGTCATTCAGAGTAGTTGGGTGCAAAATGCTTCATTCTAGAGAAACTTAGGTCAGAATTGTTCACAGCGGTAGTGATAGAACCTGAACCAGACGTCTGAAGAGTTTAAGGCCTCTAAAAGCTGCATCACAGAGAGTTATTGCATTAAATGGTTATGAATACTTGTTTTACAGTAGTTTTGAGATAAGTTTTGGCCTAAAACATTTTAATCAATTTATTCTAATCTGTTTATGGTGGAGGGATACATTAACGGTGTTCTAAGGCAAAATAGTCCCCAAAGAGAGCTCTTATTTTCAGATTTACCACATTTTGCCATAATCAACATTACATATAAAAACCTCAAAAGACTTGTGTACGTTGGTACTTTTGGATAGTAAATAGAATGGCTATAATGGTGTTGTAGACATCAGGACCCCTGGCTCCTATCACCACCACTGTAAATAAATCAGAGTCAGCCAGTTTCTCTACAAATGAACCATTTTGCATCAAACCACTCTGAATGACACTGTTTACATTTCAACCACTGAATTATGCAGACATTTAGAAAAATTGGTGGAATTCCCCTTTAAATGTAATCATGTGGCAGAGAGGATTAGAAGAGACCTGACACTGGACACTTTTAAATCCAGGCTTAAAATGTTCCTATTGAGCAGCTTTCTGCTCAGTGTAAAATGCCGGTAGCGTTTCTAGCTCTTTTCCTCTGTAACAACACTTTTTTTATCTTAATTTAACTCTTAATTTCTAATTTTAAATTTGATTTTTAATTATTCTAATTTAATTTCCAATTTGACTTTTCATGTAATGACATTCTCTTTTAAATATATTGTTTTAATCTTGTTAATTATGCTTATAGCCCATTTGATGTCTCACTCATCCTGTCCTAGAAGCACATGTTCCTCACAGGCAGCGTCTCACTGTTCTCTTCTGTAATTTTGTCCTTTGGATCTCAAACGAATCGGTGCTCTGTGTAAAGTTAGGCAGTGGCAAGAGAAAAAATGAATCTAGCCACATAGATCATAATATCAACAGGCTGAAGAGGAATAAACACTGGCCCAGGCAGCCGTTTAAACCGCTGTTAGCATTTGCTGGCTTGTTTGAGAAATTCACATTTGTTATCATGGCTCAGGAAACTTACAAAATGAAGAACTACCATCCTTGAGTCAGTCATGGGGGTCTACTTTTCAACCAATGAGCCAATTTTCCTCTTTATTAACCCAGTGAAGTCAATGGTTTGAAAGTTTGATGTAAATTGTGAAAAGCCATTCATTTTCTTGCTATTAATAACTGAAATCTTAAATGCTAAAATATAATTCATACAAGTAGGTCCTGAACTTTGACATGTTAGTCATTTTGTTTAGTAGTGTTAATACATTGTTATTGTTTAAATGGGACTGAATTTCTGATATTAAGAAACTTTAAAAGCAGAAATATCTCTTTGTACACACTTGGCGCATGCATGTTTCCTGTCTTTGTGGGATGTTTGCATTGACTTCTGAAGATTTATGTAAACGCTACATCTAAGCAAACTCTAACCCAACTCCCTCTCCGGAAACAAAAAGAAATATTTGTTCCTTTTCAAATAAAAGTTGTATTTCTTGAGGAAAATGCATTGTTCTTTGTGGGGAGCAGCCAAAGGTCCACATTGCATGAAGACCTTCATGTTTGCCATCATCCTGGAGACATTTCGTCGCCACAAAGAGTTAAGTACACAGCCATGCATGCACACGCACACACACACACACACACACACACACACACACACACACACACACACACACACGCATACACCCTCTCTGAAAGACCTGGCAGACCAACAAAACTGTGCCCATCAGATAAACAGTACTTAAAGCTTTTATCTTTAAGAGAGAGGAGAAAATCAAGCTCCATCCTTCCACTGTGAGAAGACAACTCAACACTATGGGCCTGAAAGGATGTGTGGCTGCCAAGAAGCTGTTACTGAGAAACGAAAATAGACAAAAAAGGAGAAAAAACTCAAACAAAGAAGTTCTCCAAGAACAATGGACTGATCACCCCAAAATCCAAATATCAGCATCACTGAATGTGCTTGGGAATATCTGGACCAAAAAAACAGAAAATGCAACCAACTTTTAAGACTGAACTTTGGAGGTGGGGAAAATATCCCTGCAGATTTCTTTGAAACACTGAAAGCAAGTCTCCTGAAAAGAATGGAAATTGTAATAGAAGCAAAGGGTGGACACACTAAATGATGAATAAAATTTTTTTAAATCGTCAATTTTTTGCCGATGGGTTGTCTTTGACTTTCGCACAGTACTGTGTATGAAATCTGTAATAAATAAAATAAACAAAAATTTATTTTTAATTTTTCCACATTTTGTGCACAGAAAAACCTTTGTTACTAAAAATAGCACTATGTGTGATGAATCCAGTTTTAATGTAAATATTGAGCATTTATTTTCTTAGTATTTGCACAATGAAGAGTGGTGTGGTTTGTTGTGTGCACTTTTTGAGCACTTTAAATTCTTTTGCACAGGTGATACAGTGTGACAATGCATTCATTGTTTTGGATTCACGATTAGAGCTTTGAGAAGGAGATCTGTTTTTTGAGAAATGCATCTAAACGATTAACAAAAGCTGTCAACTACTCATTTTTGGCTGCTAATATTTTGTCAAGTGTACAGTTTGAGGGGAAATTAATGAAAAACTGTGTAGAATTCAAACAAAGAGCAGGACTGATTAAAAAAAGTCTTTATCTCTGATCCTGCGGCTGGCACGGGGCCTATCTGAGTTGTGGGGTTGCCGGATCAGCGCTGTGGAAGAGGATGGAGGAATCGGCCCATCTGTCTAAACACATAGCGACTCAGTCAGGATTTACAGGCGCAGTAGAAATGGTCCAGTCCGCGTGCCCTTCCTCTTCCTCAAGCTGCTTCATCAGCTGGATTCTCACCACATTCCAAAATCTGCAGATCTGCCCTACTCAGCTCATCTGATTCCCTTGAAGCAATAGTCTGTTGAAAAATGTAATTTGCACAATATTCCACTTACTCTAAATGCAGTCAATCAGCCAAGACATGCTTGGTGTCCAAAGTTTGTTTCTGTAGTTTTGTACTGGAAGTAATGGGGGCTTGTGTACACTAATTAGCATTGTGCAAACTACATGCATAAATCATCAAACGCTTGCCTCAGTATACCATTTAAATCCAATAAACTTTTTGTCAAATTCAATTCATATCTTTTCACGGTCTGCTAGCTTTCGGTTCTGTGTGAAGTACTGGAAAAACTCTGGTGTCTGTACACAGCCCTGGCTCTGTAAAAGGGAAATAAACAAAGTGGCTCGAGACGAGAAACACAAGACTATTCCTGCCAATCAGCAACTGGGGATGTTTGTGCTGGTGCACAAGGTGGGGAAAGGGGAGGGGCTATGTGCTGAACTTCACACAGTGTCAAGAAGGACAGATGGCCAAAAACAGCCAAAGAGGAGACAATCTGAAGAACCAAGATTGAGAAAGAAGTTCTTAGATCAAGCAAAAAGCCGTGTTAACATCAGTAAGATGTTTCAGTGGTGGAGAGACCTCTGAAAGTTGACAAGCCTGAAGTTAGCTTCCTATTCACATTTTCTCGTTACCCCTTAAATCATTCAGCAGTTTCATTCTGGCGCCTCACATTCATAACCCACAATCTAGCTAACATTAGTTACATCACTTGCTGTGTGGTTGTTTGTATAACGTTATATCATGGTATTTCTCCGTACAATGTTTGCGAAGGGTTTTATGGCCACAAACACCTAAAAAAACAAGTCTGCCAGCCCAGTGTTGTTCACCTTGGCAATGCGCATCCATGAATTTGGGGGCAGAGCTTCTGAAGGAGAACTTAAGGGAGGGGTGTATTTGGTTTGCTGTTGAATTCAAATATCAACAATTGTTTTCCAGAATCATACACTGCGCCTTTAAGACGTGTTAAGCTGTTAAGTAATCTACAATAGACTTCAAATAAAATTTAAGACTCAGACAACCCAAGTAAACATAAAATACAGCTTTAAACAATGATCTTTTCATTTATTGAAGGAAAAAAGTTAACATCAACTGTGAAAAAGTTACTCAATCAACCAATAAACCACAGTTAGTTGATAATTGGGATCAATTAAACTAGCCATACCCAGGCTTCATTACTGACAGTCCAAACACTTAAATAGGACCTTTTCAGCAATGCAAAGTAAGCATAAATGTCTCAACAAACAGCACATTATGCTGCATTAAAAAAATCCTAGAAAGGTTGAGAAAGAAAGTTATTGAAATATATCAGTCAAAGGGTAACAAAGACATTTCTATTGTTCTGGGACTCCAGTGAACCAGAGTAAGAGTCATTATCTCCAAATAGAGAAAACTTGGAACAGTGCTGAATCTTTCCAGAAGTGAAAGATTCACTTTAGTAATTCACTTCACATTACTGGACATGTTCCATTTAAGTAATGCAAGTAGGCTAAAAGGTTTGAACAAGCAGTGAAAGGGCTACAAAGCCATTTCTAATGCTCTGCGCCTCCTGCAAATCCTTTTGTAATGCTCTGTGGACTGGGCAGAAAGCGTAACTTTTTGGAAGTCAGGAGCCCCTTTACTTCTGTTAGTAAAGCTATCACAGGATTCCACAGTAAAAACATCAACAGTCAAACATGGTGGTGGTAGTATGATGGTGAGGGGATCGTTTTTCTGCGTCAGAGCCTGGGTGACTTGCCATAACTGACAGAACCATGAACTCTGCTCTCTACAAGAAAATCCAGAGAATGTTTGGTCATCAGTCCATGACCTGAAGCTCAGGCTCATTTGGGTTATGCAGCAAGACAACGATCTGAAGCACAGGAGCAAGTCCACCTCTGAATGGCTCAAAAGAAACAAAATGAAGGTTTTGGAGAGGCCTAGTCAAAGTCCTGATTTGAACCCTATTGAGATGCTGTGGCAGGACCTTAAATGGGCAGTTCATGTTCAAAAGCCATCCAATGTGGCTTCATTGAAGTAATTTTGCAAAGAAGAGTGGGCAAGAATTCCACAGTGACATGAAAGGCCAGTTATAGGAAGCGTTTAGTTGCAGCTGTTGTTGATAAAGGTAGCACAACTTTTTCACATGGGTGATATAGGTGTTGCAAAACCTTTTCCCTTCATTAAATGAAATTATCATTTCAAACTGTTTTGTGCTTCCTCAAGTTCTCACTGTCTTGTATTACATTTTGTATGAGAATCTGAAAATATTTATTTTGACAAATATGCAATTGATATCAAAAGGGGGCACATACTTTTTGTAAAGGCACCGTACTGTTATCTATGAAACTGGACTACATTTTGGCTACATTAGAGTGCAAAACTGTGTCAATTTGATTTTCAACCAAACTATTTCTTTAAAGCACTGTGGTAAAACTCAAATAAGTGTACATTAGAATTCACATTATTACTTATTCTGTTTTTCTGCTATGTGTAACCAAAACAAAGGTCTGTTTGTGAAAAATTACAATATAAAATACAGTAACATGCGCTTCTTCACATATAACAGTCTCACAGTACAAAAAACAACAACCATTTCACTTCATAAAGTAAACTACTGGCACAGAATAGGAGCTTCATGTGTAACGCAGCAGCGCAGCGCTCCTGACATGGAACAGATTATTTCACATTCATTACAGCCAAAAAAACAAACAAACAAAACCTTATTACAGTTCCAAAAATTATTTGACCATATTCCACATCAGGGTTGGACGGTATGCACTTGTTTCATACATTCAAACCATCTCCAAATATCAAATAAGTGAAAGCAGTGTACAATTTTCAAGCCATCATTCCATCTAACCACAGTTAAATGTTAAACAGTGTTTTTAACTAGGTGAGAGGAGCTGGTTAGCATTAGCTTAGCTAGCATGAAAACAGCTCTGCTCACCACAGAACATGTTCAGTTCTGGCTAATAAAAACACAGACACAAGTTTAGATGATAATGGTTCAAATATGAGGGAGTGAAGTCGAGTTACTGGTGTTGAAGGGACAGAGAGGTGAAATAAAACTTGTTCCGTGGTGTTTAAATCTGTAGCCTGATCGGCTAAATTAATGTTAGCTTAGCAAGCAAGCTACAGCCCAAACAGTGCTACACAGTACAGGTTTTATTCTGACTAACCGGTGTTCTTCTTAAACTGAAAAAATCGAACCTGTTCTTTGACATTTGGGGCTGTAATGTTTTGGCTCAGCCAAAGACATTATAAAGGAGGACACAGGTCACTGTCTGAAATACGAATGGGAAAACTCATCATGACGTCTGTTTACAGGGAAAGTCCCACCTTTCAATAAAAAGAGCCGATCAGCTTGCTGCTTACAACATGAGCAGGAAAAGCCCCCCCTCAATTGTGAAGATCTAGTCAAAACAAACAGAAAAACTATTTGCAAACTTATGAGATTTTTGTCAGATTTTACCAGTGATTTCAAATAAATTGGAAATCATAATTTGGCCCTATTTAGGTCTCTTGACATTCTAAAAGATAGGTGTCGTATGACTGGAAATAACTGGCCGTGTTACCAAGAAGGCTGCTGAGTGGACAGACTTTCCTATGAGGCCTTTGGCTAAGCTAACACATCCTTATGCCTTATGCAACTTTTTGCTAGATTTAGATACTCTTCAGAGCCCTTTAGTGACTTTTTTAAAAAGCACCTAGTAACAAATCTAGCAACTTTTAGAACCAACCTTAGCTACTTGTCATAGAAGAGCATCACCAGTACTGCCCCATGAGCAAGAGGCACAACTCACTCTGTGTCTACTCTGTTTAATGTCACAGTGGTGGAGCAGCATGTTCAGTCTGCATCAAGAATGTGTTTTACATCAAATAGCTGTGGCGGATGGTACCAGCTGCTTGTAGCTGCCTTACAAAAATGTATTTTTTAACAAAAATGAAGAAGTGATTTCCACAAAAATTCGTAGATTCACAGTCAGATCTCTGTAATATACAAATGTCGAGCAGCACCTGGAGTCTCACCGGTCTCCAGAGGAGCCATTGTCGTGGCAAGAGGTTAATTGTGCAGCTGAAGAATTGTTGAAAAACAATATTTGCATCAAAATGAACAAGTTTTAATGAGAAATAAACTGTGAAAATACAAATATTTATTGTTTCTAGTCTCAATATAGAAAATTGAATCAAGCTGTGATAAAAACTGCACTTTCATACATCCATGTATGCCTTTGTTTTCCTCATGGCATAGTGAAAAAATTAACAAAACATTGTGATCATGATGTAAAATGAGAACAGCTTTATTGGACATTCGACTGTATTAAAATACAGTACATGTGAGCACAGAAAAGAGCAGAGAAGCAACTGCAAAGATGTAAAGGGCTGACACCATCTGACACTAGGCAAAATGCAAATATGACGTGAAGACGTCACAGATATGCTAATTAGCACATGATGCCATCTAGCGACATTTAGCATCTTTTCGAGCAGGCTTTAGCTACTTTCCATTGAAAGTACTTGGCAACACTGGCTTATGCTGCGTTCGACTGAAGCTTTTCTATAAGATTTTCTATAGCTTGGAAGAAAACACCCTCTGGCTATTTCTCTGCCAACTGGCACTTCCTATTTGGAAAGTGGAGATGGTGTTCTCCGACCTCCATATGACGTCAAATCAACAAGGCCGCTCACATTGTCAATAGTAATAAATAACCTCTTCTGTACTTTTAAATGAGATTTGCTTTAGACCAGTGAACCTACAGACACAGTACTTGGTTGAACTACAACACTGACCATAAGGTTTGCTGTTTTGAGAAGGTAAATACATCACGGACATTGAAGCTATCACTCATATCACTACTATTAGCTGATTAGCTTGTTGGTAACAATATTCGCTTTCATTCTTGTTCTTCCTACTTTGTAGCTTGAATGCAATTCTGAGCTCCGTCTTCCCACAGCTGAGCCAAGTCAAATGCAGCAATAGTTAGCAGGCCAAATGTGCCACACAGTTACAGCAAACTGATGATAAACTGACACCTGTTTAAAGCACATCTGAGAGCGCAAATTAGAGTGACTGGTGCTAGCATTAAAGCAGAAATCTGCGGTGTGTGAGCTACTATCATGCTCAGTTTTTCTGAGGTTTTTCCTGGCTCTGATTTTCCCCCTCTTTCTGTCAGCGCCACCTATTGGTGAGCTCCCACTCCACCAATCAGTGAGCTCCTCTAAAATAAAAATTACTGGCATGATTTTTAAATAGCGAGGTTAGAGGTCTGTCTTTTTCAATCCCACCTGCAACCAACAAAAGGAATCATTCGCCCAGCTCCTGCACACAACCGAAACAATTTTACCTGCTCCCACCCATGCAGTTCCGTCAACATTTATTCCCAGTAAATACAAAGCAGGAATTAAACCACAGAATGGTTATTTTTGGTGTTTTGCTGGACCCACTAGCTGTGGCCGTCGGACTGAAGGCTCTGCCATCTCTGTAAGCTACGAGAATCTGTGTGCTGTTCACATGATCAGCTGCTTCGCAACTCCTTAGAATGACTATCAATTTATTCAATTTAACTCTTTTACCGTTATCATTTTATATTGTTTATATATACATGATTTAGTGATCATTCTACTTTATTTTAGGCTATTCATTAATTTGTGGGATTTCTCTTCATGCATGCCTCAGATCCACTCCCGCCTACAGTGGGCTGGTATCCAGCCCGCTCCGGGAATCGCCGGGAATACAGACCTCTAACTGAGGTATACCTTGTTGCTGTTATACCGCCCAACCCTACCCCCATACAAATGACAGATCACTCATGTGTCAGTGCTACAGTTTGGCACCTCATCAAAGTCTGATCTGATCAGAGACATTCATCAGTTCATCAGTTGCTGACTGATGGCAAATAAAAGCCAAGTGTCCATTGAGTACCCCAGGAATGCAACTGGAGCATGCACCACTTTCATGCAATAACGCTTAGTGAAACACCTGATATAACTGAGGTGTGCTGTCAATGTCTCATCTATGCTCTGCAATCAGATCAGCTACAGTCCCTGTGACTGTGAGCTGTTCATTTTCACAACCCTACCAAATCTGATGCATCCCCAGTGCTGTGTTTCTGTAATGAAAACGGCAACAGGCGTGGACGCTCATCAGGGCCCAAAAGCCTATACGTGTCCACCATTTTTAAATTTGTACATACGGGTGAAGACTGACATACTCGTTGGTTGCTAGATGATTCTACTGCCTTCGTTCCCAAAGGTACGCAAGTGTAAGAATTGGATTGCATTTTTGACATGAGGCTACTTTGATGGAGATGCTCAGTTGTGTCCACCGTTTCCATCACAAAATCCGCATAGGCTAGAGAAGGCTTGGGGACTGGGAGGTAAGTAGTAGATACATGGGTGTAACAACAGGGCTCCAGTCCAGACAAGTGGTTACTTCTCTGGATAAGATTAGTTGAATCTTCGGCCTCCACTCCAATATTGGCATAGGAATCAGGGACTGGAAGATAACTAGTAGACACAAAAGGACAGCAAGTGGACTCTAATCTTGACTTAAAGTTCCTTTTATAGACAAGGTCAACTGCATCCACTCCAAGAAAGGACTCAGGATCTGATGAACATCTAGATGATACATGGATTTGAGAACAAGAGTCAAATCTTGACACACAGACCCTACATAAAGGTGAGCCCACTACATCCATTCCAAGATAGGACTCAGAGACTGTCGGATAACTAAAAGATACTTGAGTTTGGAGGCAGGACGGCAGCGCTGTCACCACTTCACCCTTATAGTCGAGGTCAGCAGTTAGATGGTCACTCAAATCTTCAGCATTCGGTTCACTGAGTGGTTGTTCAGCCTCTCGCTTGTCCGGGTTGGCTGCAACTGGCCTTTCAAAGATGGCAAGGGATTTGCTTTCATGGCTGGCTGACTTGATTGGTACAGCCTGGTAGCTTAAAGCAGAGACTTGGCTGTGGTTTTGGTGGTGGTGATCCCAATGGCCGGACTTTCCTCCCACATAGATGAGTTCAAAGAGAGAGGGGGATGGTTTGAAGTCCAAGACTGTTAGCTTATGCTACAGGGTACAAAGAGACAGAGATGCAATTAATTCCACATTTAAAGTTACTCTTATTTCATTGGTGTTAACTGGCCATTCATCACTATACTGAATTTTTGTCTTTAAAAAAGTAATACCAGCACTCATTCTGGAGAACTACCCACTGTGTAACAAATCTTATTCTGCATTAGATGATGTTTAGGACTTTAAAATAACTGGTTCTTGAGCTAATGCTAAGGATAATTGGAGCTACAGTGGTGCTTCAAAGTGTGTGAACCCTTTAGAATGTTCTATATTTCTGCATAAATCTGACCTAAAACTTTATCAGATTTTTTACACCTAAAAGTACAACCCCATTTCCAAAAAAGTTGAGACACTGTGTAAAATGTAAATAAAAACAAAATGCATTGAAGTGCAAATCGTTTAAACCCTAAGTTTAATTAAAAATAGTACAAAGATAACATATCAAATGTTGAAACTAAGAAATTTTATTGTTTTGTGACAAATATAAGCCCATTTTGAATTTGATGCCAACAACACACTCCAAAAAAGTTGGGACGGGGCAACAAAAGGCTGGTAAAAAAACACCTGGTGGTTGATTGGCAACAGTAACATGACTGGGCATAAAAACAGCATCCCAACCGCATCTTTCAGAAGTAAAGATGAGGAGGGGTTCACCACTCTGAAAGACTGCACGAGCAAATAGTGCAACAATTCAAGAATAACGTTTCTCAACATAAACTACTTTTCATCATCTACGGTACATAATATCATTAAACGATTCAGAGAATCTAGAGAAATCTCTGCATACAAGGGACAAGGCCAAAAACCAGTATTTGCTGGCCATGATCTTTGGGCTTTCAGTTGGCACTGCATTAAAATAGATATGATTCTGTTGTGGAAATCACTGCATGGGCTCAGAAACACTTCTGAAAACCACTGTCTGTGAACACAGTTTGTCGCTGCATCCACAAATGCAAGTTAAAACTCTAAAATGCAAAGAAGAAACCATATATAAACAGGATCCAGAAATGCTGCCACCTTCTCTGGGCCCGAGCTCATTTAAAATGGACTGCGGGTAAGCGAAAAAGTGAAAAACATTTGAAATTAGTTTTGGAAATCATGGACACTGTGTCCTCCGGGCTAAAGAGCACTCAGCTTTTTATCAGTGCACAGTTCTAAAGCCAGTATTCATGATTCTATAGGGGTACATTAGTGCACATGGCTTGGGTGACTTGCACATCTGTGAAGGCACCATTAATGCTGAACAATATATACAAGTTTTGGCAACATATGCTGCCATCCAGGAGACATCTTTTTCAAGGAAGGCCCTGCTTATCTCAGCAAGACAATGCCAAACCACATGTATTACAATTCATGTATTACAACAGCATTGCTCCATATTAAAAGATTCCAGGTGCTAAACTGGCCTACCTGCAGTCCAGACCTGTGACCACTGAAAACATGTGGCGCATTATGAAATGAAAAATACGACAAAGGAGACCCCGAACTGTTGAGCAGCTGAAATCTTATATCAAACAAGAATGAGAAAACATTTCACTTTCAAAACTACACCAATTGGCCTCCTCAGTTCACAAACGCTTACAGAGTGTTGTTAAAAGATGATGCAACACAGTGGTAAACATGGGCTTATATTTTTCAAAAACAGACTAAAACTTCTCTGTTTCAACATCTGATATCTTGTCTTTGTAGTATTTTCCTTTAAAAACATGGTTTACATGATTTGCATATCATTGCATTCTATTTTCTCTAATATTTTTTCTCTATGTTATGTTGGTGGGTTTCCTCCAATGAACTGCGTGCTTCAGGTCCTTCCACAACATTTCTATAGGATTAAGTTCAGAGCTTTGACTTGGCCATTCCAAAACATTAACTTTATTCTTCTTTAGTAGAATGACTTGTGTGCTTAGGGTCGTTGTCTTGCTGCATGACCCACATTCTCTTGAGTTTCAGCTCACGGACAGATGTCCTGACACTCCTTTAGAATTTGCTGGTATAAATCAGAGTTCATTGTTCCATTAATGATGGCATGCTGTCCTGGCCCAGATGCAGCAAAACAGGCCCAAATCATGATACTACCACCACCATGTTTTACAGATGGGATAAGGTTTTTATGCTGGAATGAAGTGTTTTCCTTTCCCCAAACATAACACTTCTCATTTAAACCAAAAAGATCTATTTTGGTCTCATCCGTCCACAAAACATTGTTCCAATAGCCTTCTGGTTTGTCCATATGATCTTAAGCAAACTGCAGACGAGCAGCAAGGTTCTTTTTTGAGAGCAGTGGCTTTCTCCTTGCAACCCTGCCATGCACACCATTGTTGTTCGGTGCTCTCCTGATGGTGTACATTAACACTAGCCTCTGTGAGACTGGCCTTTAGTTGCTTACAAGTTACCCTGGGTTCCTTTGTGAACTCACAGACTATTACACTCCTTGCTCTTGGTTTGTCGACCACTCCTGGGGAGCGTAACAATGGTCTTGAGTTCCCTCCATTTGTACACAATCTGTCTGACTGTGGATTGGTGGAGTCCAAACTCATTAGAGAATGTTTTGTAACCTTTTCCAGTCTGACGAGCATCAACAACTCTTCTTCTGAGGCCCTCAGAAATCTCCTTTGCTCATGCCACCCTACACCTCCACAAACATGTGGTCACTCACACCTGATTGCCATCCCATCGATTGAAAACATGTGACTCTAATTTCAACTTCAAATTATCTGCTAATCCTAAAGGTTCTAAAGGCCACTCACAGATATGTACTACTGCACCATTTTCCTCAATAAATATAAATAAATGAACTTTGTCTCAATTGTTTAATTTGGTTCTCTTTATGTACTTTTAGGACTTGTGTAAAAATCTGATGAAGTTTTAAGTCAAATTTATGCAGAAATGTAGAAAATTCTAAAGGGTTCACAAACTTTCAAGCACCACTGTACATGCAGATGGTGATGGTGATGCATTATACATTTCAATCCATGCAAACAAAACCACTTTTAATTGCACATTTCAGCAATTATGTTTGAATTAGGGTTGTAGGAATCAATTATGTTAGTAATAGAATAATCTATTTTCGTCTGCAGAATTATTGTGACAAACAATATCGTCATTATCTAAATTCAGTTATGAAGTACCACATTTGAGCTAGCATTTTCCCTGATGCTAATATATTTACTATATAATTTACAACTGGGCTAGCTTCTAATATGTGTGTATAGTGTCTTTTCTACTATATACTTTTTGATAGATAGGAATGAGTATACAACAGGAATAGGTATATAAAGGCAAAGCAGTAATAAAGAAAAGAGAATCATATTTAAATCATCATGATATTCAATAATATCAGTTATCAGTTTGTGGCTAATGACAAGATGGTTTCTGACATTACCTGACTTTGAGAAACAGGTGGCCAGGTGGACAGGCTGCTTTTAGAGGGGTCAGGGACAGCAGGACAGAGGCGCTGTTGAATCCTAATGGACAACAACACAGAGCACACACTTAGGACCTCAGCAGCAGTAGTGTGCTATAAGCCACTGAAGGTCATTTCATTCTGTTCTAAGTGTTACAGTTTCAGCTGCAGCTGAACTAATAATGCTAACAATGTCTAAGGTTGACATTCACATAGGGAAGCTGATATCTGCAGGGCAAATTCTACCTGCAGAAAACAGGCTGTAATGCAGTTGTACCGAACAGTTTAAACACTCCCAGTTAAATAACATGTTTTGTTGATGTTCTAAGTGAAAATAAGCAAACCCATCCTCTGCAAACTTTAACATGGCAATTTTTTTCGGAATATTTCTAGGGCACAGTTTCTATTTATTTGCTTATAGTTTGCCTATAGTTCAACATATGTGCTATAATTTTTGCACAGGCCACATTTTATGATTTTTATTTCTTCCCCAATATGTTAAATTCAACAAATAAACAGTAATTGTGCATTAAAATGTGCAGATGTGTTTTTACTGATGAGGATGTGTTAACATATTTTCACTTAAAAAATTAGCAAAATATGTAACGTGACCAAGGGCGCCAAAACTTTTGTATACAAATGTATAGGCTGAATTCTGGATCAGGCTAAATATTTAAGCTGCTATTAAAGGCACAGGAAGTGTGTACTTTATGGGTATTATGTACATATTTAAAGACTTTATATTGAACAAGCTCTAAGCAGTTGTTGACTCACCTTTCAACCTGGCTTAGCAAGATTACTAAAACCAACAAAGTGCCAACAGCGCACAACAGTATGGCCACCAACTGAAAGTAATCATTACCTGTTAAAACACATACGCACACATGCACTGTAGTCAAAAACTCAGCAGTATAACTTTACAAAGGCAGTGTGTAATAGTGAAACACAAATTAGTACTGCATTTATGGCTGAAACCAGGGCTGGTTTTACGAAGCAATCCTGACTTAGAGGACTGATCTCAGATCAGATTCCTCTGTATTTCTCTGGACTTACCCACAGCCACAGTCACCCATGGGCCTGCAGCGCCCCCTGCCTCAGTGTGGGCCTTCACACAGATGGCGTACTCTCCAGCCGACAGACCACTCAGAGAATACTCCTTAACGTGGCCCCCAAGCACTCGAGCTGTGGAACATGATAGAGTATTAAGGTTACAGGCCACTTCCAGCCATTTAGCCATATATATTCAAGTCAATTAAAAGGCTCTATACAGTGAAACTGTACTTGCTTGAAACTTGCATAAAACTAAATTGCATTTCAGTTGTATAACGTAAAGCGTGCAGCAACTCATTTGAAACTCAGCCACAACAGCTGCATGTCTCAACTTTGTGAAACAAGTTTCATGAAACAGCCAACAAGACGCCGCGTCGAATGGCATACTTTCAAACGAGTGATTGCATCAGATCAACTGGACGATTACATAAAACAGAAAAAGTTTTTTTGGGCAGGACAAAAGTAGACACCTCCCAACTGACTTAATATTGGTAGTTCTTCACTTTGTCAGTTTCCTAAACCACGACAACAAATGTGAGTTACTCAAAGCTAACGTTTCTGTAAGTAGCTGTGCTAACTAGTCAGCTAATGCTAACAGCAGTTTAAATGGCTGCTTGTGCCAGTTTATTCTTCTGCTATTCACTGTTGAGTGTATACAAAGTATACAATGATGAGTGACAGTTTTGTCCTCATTCAGTAGTCAGTAGCTGCATGGCAACAACAGCATACTCTAAACCAACAAGTTTCTTTAGAAGAAATGTTTATTGAGATTATTATTGTTACCATTATGATTATTAAGATTATTATCAATAAGAACATTTTGTTTGATGTTTGATTTGATGTTCATTTGATATTTTATGTTGACAGCATTTTATAAAAGCAATAAACACAGCATTTATTGCTCTAATGAAGGTTTGCAACAACTTTTTGAACATGATTGTATCTCTGGGAGACAATTGTGTCTGTTTACCAGAAAACCTCAGAGATGTGTCATAGTAAAGTGTTCAGGCCTGCTGCGGCCTGCTGCAGTCTGCATATCAACCAGAACTGGCCATTAATGATGTAGGGTTTAGGCTGCTGCATGGAGTCGATGAGCATCTAGAGGCTTTAGACTGTGTGGATGGAATAATATGGTTTTGCTGACCTCCCCAGTGCATATAATACACTACAGCCTCACCTGCCTGCATACTAGATGATGGCCTCGAAGATAAATCCATTTTTTATTGAGTGAAGCTTCAAGCACTTGACAAACAGACCATACACTTGGAGTCTGTAAATCATGCAACTTTAGAGATGATCTATGAAAACATATGGACTTCACAGGGTATGGCTCTTTCTCCATTTCATTTCAGCCTGCACACCAATGACTCTCTCCAATCAAGAATAATGACTGGTCAATCGTTTCTTCTTTTAACGAAGGGTGTGATAATACATGGTTGGATCTGAACATAGAGGAAATGTATGAATGTAGAGCTGCTAAATTTAATAAATACATAATTAAGTGTTCTACTAGACACAAGGCCTGTGCTTTGTATGCTGATATAATCTGTTGCTATCAGTTCTATTCTGATTCCTATGGACCCTATAAATAAAATTAAAACTCAAATTTATGAATAGAAATACTCCATGGTCTTGGATGCTGTTTAAAGGTTATCAGTCTTTTTCTGTTGCTGCCCTAATCTTTTATCATTAGTAGAGCAGTTCCACTGCTACACAGTCAAAATTTGGGGGCTTTACACCTCTCTAGCTGACAGTACGCCTTGGGCACTGTGACCTTAAGACTCATGTATGGCTGCTACAGTATGTCCCATTCTATTGGCAATACTTAGTACATAGAGATTACACAAGCTGTGCTATGTCATGTAACACTCTTTCGCGCAACACTTCGCGTTTAACTGAATCCACGATTTTATGTCTGTTTGTGTTTTCATCAATGTTTTCTCACTACAATACCCAGCACACATTATGCAAATACATCATACAACCATTAGGGACCCTCCTCATGGCTATAATCCACTGATGCATCAATTACGTAGAAGTTAAAGGGGAATTCCACTGATTTTTAAACATTTCTGCATAATTCAGTGGTTGTGATATAAACAAAGTTATCATATATCGTGTTTTGATGTGATGGTTCACTGTAGAGAAACACACAAACTCAGATTTCTTTACAGTGGTGCTGATAAGAACCAGGGGTCCCAAAATCAACAATGCAAATATAGTCATTTTATTTCCTATCCAAAACCACCAGTGAACCTACATGTGTCTTCTCTGGGGACCATTTTGCCTTAGAACACCCTTCATGTATCCCTCCATTGTGAATGGATTAAAATAAATTGGTGAAAATAAGTTTAAGGCCAAAACTTTATCAAAAAACTATCATAAAAGTTTCCACCAAACCACCTTGAATGACTTTGCTGACATTTTTTACCATTTAATTATGCTGAAATTTTGAAAAACTACTGGAGTTGCCCTTTAACAAATACAGACATGAAATGTGGCTTCCTAGCAGAAACTTTACCTATCTGGCTTCCTTCTGCATTAGCCAGCTAGTGGTAAACAAGCAAACAGTCCGCTCTCAAAGGGAAAAAAGGCAGACAGTCTGCCCTCAAATCCACCCAAAAGCAGCCATAATTTTTCAAAAGTTTTCCTCCCACTTTCAAGATACATCATCGGAAGGTTTTCCAAGTTTTTAAACTGAAAAATCACCACTGTAGAAGGAGAGTACACGTTTAATAGGACACATCCTGTAAACATATGTGTATATATATATATATATATATATATATATATATATATATATATATATATATACATAAAATATATATATAAAAAAATCTTACATTTCACTTTGCCGTTGGTTTTATATAGGATTGTGTAGTTTTGGATGAATCCACGCAGCTTCTCCAAAGGAACAGCTTCCCACTTCAGAGTCACATGGTTGCTTGCTATTTGCAGCACTTCCACAGTTGGGCCAACGGAGGGCGCTAAGAAACAGAGAAATGAAAATCTCAGAGGCTGCACTTTAAATCTCCTGTAAGAGCAGTTTTGTGGTCTCTTCCTCAGTTCCTAATTGATTAGAAACTGATTTAAAACAAGCATGCCTATTGACTCACACTGATAAGGCTAAGTACTTAGGCACTGAAATTTGCTACTGAATGGTACTGAGTTCTCTACACTCTCTGGTATCTATGGCATCACTCCAAACAACTTTTTGGGCACCTTTCTTTTTAAAAGGGAATTAAAACAATGAGCAAATTCTTGCATTATTAAATAAGTTATGATTAAAATAATCATTCAGAGCTTGTACATTAATGGTGAATTCCACAGATTTCTCTATATGTCTGCATAGTTAAATGGTTATAATGTAAACAAAGTCATTCAGAGTGGTTTGATGTGAAATGTGCCATTCTAGAGAAACTTAAGAAGTCAGAATTGTTCACAGTGGTGGTGATAGGAACCAGACGCCTGAAGAGTTAAATGTCTATAACCCCCCCCCTCACAGAACGTTACTACATTATGTGGTTATGAATACGTTGCCTGATGCTGGAGACAATGTTTATGGTAGCTCTGCAATAAGATTTTGGCCTAAAACCTACTTTTTCTTTTCGATTCATGGTGAAGGGGTACATTCAGGGTGCTGTGGGCTAAAAGAAAACCTATTTTTTTCAGATTCATCACTATTTTCCTATCATTAGCATTACATTTAAAAACTCAGAAGACACATGTGGTTCACTGGTTGTTTTGGATAGTAAATAAAATAGCTATATTTGTGTTGTAGACATTGCAACCCCTGGTTCCTATCAGCACCACTGTAAATAAATTAGTCAGTAAGTTTTTCTAAAATAAACCATTTCACATCAAAACAAACTGAATGACTTTGTTTACATCTGAGGGACTGGATTATACAGAAATGTTTGAAAAATCAGTGGCATTCACATTTATTAACAGTTAAAAGGCGTTCTCTGACATGAGCTCCTGCATCTGTAGCATACAGTTCACTGCAACAGACAATAAATATGACATATTTCTGAGTACTTTAGAAGAAGAACAGAATACATGTTGACACAAACAACACTTGTGATAAGTGCTTAAACATTTTCACACTGGCTTCTACTGAAGTGTACTCTGTGTTCTAAGTATAAGAAGAAAAATATGGCTCTAGTAATAGATCATATGCTACAGACACAGCAGACAGAGATCAGGTTGAAGACCACTGAAGTATTCCTTTAACTCAAATGGACGAGCAGTTTAAGCTTTTCTCTTGGCTTTTTAGTGCCAACATTTGATTAGCTGCTTAGTAATGCTATCTAGCCCTTTCATGCATGGTGTCCACATATGTGGACAGTTCTGTTACTTTTTAAATAAAAGTTATATGTTTTTTTAGAAAATCTAATTTAAAATTTAAATATATTCTTTGCAAAAAAATGCAAACTATGCAGATTACAAAAAAAGCATAATTTTAGTTTAACAGAAATCATGAAGAGCGGTTTCATAAACTTCTTTCACACTCTTCTCACACACATACTTTGCAATCTGATATATCCTGTGTTGCAAAAGATTTTTTGCATAACATCTGACCTCCTTGTCTAGTAAAGGCAACGGCGAATCTTGCAAATCCAACTGCCTTTCTGTAAAGGATCCGAACAGAAACATTATAGGGGACCTCAGGAAGTATTCCATCTGCAAGACAGACATACATATACCTGCATATGAGAATGGCTGACCACAGAGAGAATAACATGTTTCATCAAAGAGTTTTGGTTTTACAGCTTCATATTTTTGTCATATTGTGACTATATTGCTACATATTGTGATATGCTTTCAATATTAAAACCACACTGATGATCACTTGATGTGATACGATTCTGCATTTCTGACCAAAGTGTTATGTCTGCTGGATCATGTGACTGCCTTAATTCAGTAATAAAACTGGTCAGGATGCTCAAGAGTACAATAAAACATGTTGATTTTTTAAAGGGCTTGTTTGCATATTGCAGCCACTTGTGATATCAGTGTTGCAAATGCCAACACTGTGATAACAACTCACAAATTAAAGCATAACTCTTGAGTAACTACAAGTCTTAATTTCCTGAAGAAAGTGCAAAGTGATTGTGCAGCCTTAAGCAGTTCCCCAGTATTTCTAGGGTGTTGCTAGGTGATTACTTTGGTACTGGAGGTGATTGCTAGGGAGCTGCTACTATCTTACCTCTAATGGCTGCTAGGGGGTTGCTGTGTGGTTGATATTGTGTTCCAGGTGCTTGCTAGGGTATTGCTAGGGAGTTGCTATGGTATCTCAGGAGACTGCTAGGGTGTTGCTAGTGTACTTGTATCAAGATGACATAAGGGGTGTACAAACTTTTGCACAACAACTTTTTGAGCATTCCACAATCACCTGCGACAACAAAGCTCCTTGCAGACCCATTCAAGATTTTCCAATATAAATCGTCAGCTGTGTTGTTAGGTATGGGAAACCACTCTACCACAAAGCTGGCCTCTGATTGGTCTACTGCTGCTGTCCAGTCCACCTTCAGCTGGAAGTCGTCCAGTGGGGTGACTCTGATGTCTGCAGGAGGTGGGAGCACTAGGACAGAGCACATTAAACTGTTTAAAAAGAGTGAAATTCTAGACAATGTAAAATAAAAGAGACATGTTTTGCTGTGTCAGATCAACACTGATGTAGAGAGATTTAGTTAAGTCAATACACTGCCCATGAAAAATTTGGGAAAATTAAGTTTTGTGTTTAAGTGTTTTTTAGTCCTGTGGCGAAGTTTTTGTACCCCCCGCCACCCATGTCCTCAGTATTCTTCAGTTCAGTGTTCAAGCCTAAAAGGCCCATATCCTACATTTTTCTTGCACTATTTTTTTTAATGGCATTTGCGTGCATTTCAACACTTAGTCAGTTACAGCCGCTAACCGTTTCAGATGATTATTATCATGCATTCAGAACATCTGAACCTAAATTAGTCATGCCACACATTTCCAAACAAACAGAATCGAGTCAGCTTATAGAAACTTCTTTACCTCAGCATAAAATCTGACTGCTATTAAAGTTTAAATATTTCCAGTTCATAAGTCAAATGTATTTATAATGCTTTTCACTTAAGTCAGAAATTCAAAACATCTTTCAAGCTTACATTGATAATATTCTCTGAAATGCTAATCCAGAGTTTAGAAGCTTGATAACAAAATGACCACCAGCTGAGCTGTAAGTGATTCTAGACATTTGCAGTAAGCCTGTCTCAGCTGAGTGAAGTGGTCTGGACAGGATATATCACTTCAACAGATCAGCAAGACATGCAAAAGCTGTCATTAAGAGCTTCAAATGTCATAAGGAAGATCTAGTCAGCGTGGAACTTAACAGGAAGCCAGTGTGACATGCTCAAACTTGCTTTTTTGCTGGTAAGCATAATAAACCAGAGGTATTTTTCTCTAATTTAGTCATTGTAATTCCCTAATTTAGTCATTTCCATTCAATTCTACCTGCTAGCTAGTTCTGAGCGTGAAGGCTAGCAAAAGCCTCCTCCATGATGCATGAAGCACCACCAGATCTTTTTGAACTGCCACTAACACAAATTCATTGGACAGTTCAACACACTTGGAGGAGAACACTAACTGCTGATTCTGTTCAGCTTACAGATGCCTTTGTTGGCTAGCACTGGGCTGAGTGATGGAGGAGAGGGAGGACCATCCTACCCACCCTGAGAGAGTGAGGACAATTATGGACTCCCGGCCAAAGATGACCGTGGTATATCTGGGGAATAAACTCATCTTCTGCCAATACAGTCAACACTTTGCGGCACCCAGGAAACCCCAGTGTCTTTAACTGTCCTCTGAGCTGCAAGTTGTCACTATGTGAACTATAGGATTCTATAAACACAGACAGCTCATTGCAAACGTGAATGAAACAGGTTGTGCAACTTTGTGTTTAATAATAAATGTTGGCAGTGAAAACAAGTATGTTAATCACCTGCCCCTCCATCTCCAGGTATGCGTACATGAGCCGATGGTGATGTGCCAGCAGAGTTGGATGCAGTCAGGTTGCAGGTACAGGGATGGGCAGAAACATGAAGGATGCAGGACATGCTGGACGAGTCCAGATGATGACAGTCCCAGTGCGACCGGTCCAGGTCACTCCAGCACGATGCAGAATAGTGCTGAATTACACCATTACTGTCAGGCCACAGGAGAGGCTAAGAAGCGAGAGAGAGTGCAGAGATTAGCAGTTGCAGACGATAAACACATTTACTGAAGCATTTTGGTTAGACGACTGACGCATCAATTAATTAGATACAGCTATGTCACAGATTCAAAGGCTAAAAATATAATTTCCTCTTCCCATCTGGAGGCCTGAATGTGGTCCTTACTTTTGTCCATTTTTATAAACAACAGTATGTCATCCCATTATTGTCATATATGTACTAACACCGCTCCTGGTACATTTTTACATATGTTCTGGGAATGTCCCTTGGTTGAAAAAGTCTGGAAATATGTCAATTCAGTGTTGTCTGATTTACTGGAAATTGAATATAATTATGACCCATGTTTGTGTCTCCTGAATGACAACTCCAATATAGGGTTAAAGGTTATACAGAGTAAACTATTGTTTTCTGGATTTACTGCTGCTAAAAAGACAATCCTACAAAACTGGATTACCCCTGGACTTCACTTGGAATCATTCTGGGCTGTTAATTTACTTAGCATAGCAAAACTTGAATGTACGGCTGTGCGACTTAACCATGCTAAGCACATGACTGTTGAAACATGGCAAATTTTTGTGTTATGTATTTTGGATTTCCTGCAAGGTATACGTTGAATGTGGACATGTCATCCCTTATTTAATTTTGTGATGTACCTACGATCATTGTTGCTGTCCATGTCTCGTGTGTGTTTTTTTTTTGGCAGTCTGTTGCCCCCTATCCCCTTGTTGTTTGTTGTTTTGTGAAATAAAAATTCTTGATCACAAAAAAAAACAACAGTATGTATACAGTGTAAGAAACCACATAAAGTCGATCTGCGATTATCTAAAAGCTCACAACAGTTCAGTCAAGTATGTGACGATGCAAGTATGCAGTTTGTACAAAGCTAATTGTACATAAGCTTCCATTACTGGTCAGCTACATTAGCTTTGTAGCCTTAGTGCAAAACTCAAGAAGCAAACTTTGGGCACCACTACATTTAGGATAAGAGGGAGATCCTTTACATAACTGTACCATCACCCATTGAAATTATATTCTCTAAGTTGTATTGACTCCACACACCCCATCTCGTCTCCAGGCTTTTTATTTTATTGTTCTGTTTTCAAAACATTCGGGTTATGACAACGTACAAATATGTACTTTTTACCTGGTAAAACTTATTTAAGGTACACAGTTGGACCTTAAAACCACTGATGTACCTTTAGGGAACATTTACATTGTTTGTACCTTGATGAATGAATAATGTAACTGCACAGTACCTTTATTTTTAACGCTGAACCGTAAGCTAAATACAAGAATTTATTTATAAAAGTGCTTGTTGAGACATGTTGTGTTTAATAGAAATGACAATAAAAACATTACCATTGTTGTTTTTACTACAGTAGCAGATAAGAATGTCTGCCAAATGTAGTAAAAAGTTTTTTTTTCTGAAAAATGTAACTTTTATTGTCAGCCTAACACTGGATGAACAAAGAAATCAATGTTGGTTCAATAACTGAACCTTAGTAATGATGACAACAAAAGCAGCTGTTGAGAAAACTCTTCATATACTCTTCAAATTTTGAGTTTTCTTAACAGATTTTTACAGTGAGGTCAGATTGTTACTTGTGTATGAGAAAGTTCCCAGATTCCAATCAGTCTTGGACTAAAACAGATGCTCAATAGAAAATGCCCAAATAAATCATGATTTGTGTTTAAAGGCCTTTAACCTGCATCCAGGCTTACATGATGCTGAGCTGATGGCTTGGGCTGAGGGGAAATGATTAATATCACACACACCAAGTAAGTATAGCTCACAAACAAATGACTATGAATAACTGACTACAACTTTAAAAAGGCACTTAGATGCAGCTAAATATCTGAGTGGAGATCTTTTTTGTCTTTGCACAGTGTGCATTACTAATCGCACATGTGACACTGTACAGCCCTGGCTTAAACCAACAGTTAAGACATAAATATCAAGTGTACACATTGACTGAAATATATTTAGGGTTATTATGAAAATAACCAACTAGATTTTTCACTATCCTAACACTTCGACCTTTATCCAGAAAACTGCCTTGTGATGTGTCAAATTGCTTCAAGCTTCGTACGACACCTTTAGCCCCCAAAGAAAAAATACACTCTGTCTTAGTTACTACCCTCCTCTCAAACAAATTACACAACCGGAGACCCATTTCCTGCTGTCATAATACATATTCTCGCTTCCTTCAGAAACAGATTGCGCAATAACAGCCCAGACACCAGCACAGATCCATCAAGCGCAGCTCCACATGTGGACTCATTAAACAGTTATTACACATTAGGGCTGTGGTGTTATTATGAATGGGGGGACGATGATGAGATGAGGCAGGTACACAGGTAATTCTGCTTATATGAAGTAATCAGCAGTGTTAATCATATGTTCATCATACTGGTTAATAAACAAGACAACAAGAGTCAGATCCTTATCGTTTGAGTAGTTTCTTTGCTGACTTCTGCAGGTTTGCATCCTAAATGTCTTTGTACACTTCTGAGTTTATGATCCCAAGCTCAGTGACAGTGCGTTGTAAGACAAGCAGCCCAAGAGAGGGATTCGTGCCAAATTGTAAAGCAACCACTACATTAGAAAAAAGTGAAATGCAATGCATACATGACATTACTTTTCCATAGTCACATGTAGAATACCTGCCAAAATTAAAAAAACCCTCTATTACATTGTTTTCATGTTGCTGAACCTGCTGAATTCATGTCAGAATTGAATACAACCTAGCCTGAAATGTAATAAAAGCACAAATTTGTGGCTTTCCACCTCGCAGTACTTTGAACAATGTTGAATCAATGTAATGGATCTTTTACTTTTCTTTTTGGTGCATTTTCCTTTTAATGCAATCTGGTGTGCACTGCGTTTCACTGTTTGGGTGGCATTTCAATATAGTTGAAGTACAAAAAAGAGGTCAAGTGACATAAAAACATTGTAACAGAGGTTCTGCTTTTCACTTTGACAGGTATTCTGCATGTAACCTGTGGAAAAGTAACACGTGTGCATTGCATTTCACGTTTTTCCACTGTAGTGGCTGCTTTTCAATTTGACATGAATTCCTCTCCATACTCTCAGTGCAGTCTGGTTGGAATTCTTCTCCAGGCTTGATGTTGTGTTTTTTTACGTGAAACAAATATCATTTTGTTACATAGTTTATTAAGTAGGGGTGGCACAGTGGCGCTGTTGCCTCACAGCAAGAAGGGCCTGGGTTCAATTCCCAGGCCAGGTGACCAGGGTCCTTTCTGTGTAGAGTTTACATGTTCTCCCTGTGTCTGCGTGGGTTTCCTCCAGGTGCTCTGCTTTCCTCAAAGACATGCAGTCAGGCGAACTGGACATGCTAAATTGGCCCAGGTGTTAATGTGTGTGTGATTGTATCTGTCTGTGCCCTGTGATGGACTGGCGACCTGTTCAGGGTGTTTCCTGCCTTCTGCCCAATACCTGCTGAGATAGGCTTCAGCACCCCCCACAACCCAGAAGGATAAGCAGCTTAGATAATGTGAGTGTGTGTGTGTGTGTGTGTGTGTGTGTGTGTGTGTGTGAAATGAAGTGTGGTCTCTGACTTTTGCACAGTACAGTGGGGTGTCCAAACTTTTGACTGATACATGTATGAATGTTATGTTGGACTACTACTGAGTAATGGTTTCTTGAACAAACAATATTTGTACAGTGACATTATTTGTACAGTAATATTTAATATGACACTGTCATTTATTCCACTGTTTCCACTCACAATGTCCATTTAGTTCTTATTCATGCTACTGACTGAATGCTACACAGTCACAACTCCTATAGAAGCTTCAACTATATTCACAGTCCTCGGCTCCACTATGTGTCCATAAAGCAGTGTATTCTGACAGAAGATCTTAACCTCAGCATTGCCTCATCCAGCTGTGGTTTGCTCAAGGACAAAAAGACAAAGTGATCTTGAGGTGGCAACAGATTTCACGTAATGGCAAGAATCTCTAAGAGCTGAACTGACCACATACAAAACCACACACTCAGGAAATCCAAGACAACAGCGTCACACAACACCACAATGTCACTGCTGGACTGAGAACAGTCCACCAAGCAAAAATATCCAGCCAACAGCGTCCTGTGACCACTGATGAAGAACTAGAAGATGACTGTGCAGCAACAGATCAGCTACTGTCTCTAACTTTACATCTACAAGTTGGGCAATGAGTGGACACAGTGTTCAAAAACTACATCAGTGCTGCTGCGTCTGATCCACTCGTACCAGCGCAACACACACTAACACACCACCAGCACGTCAGTGTCACTGCAGTCCTGATAATGATCCACCACACAAATAATAACTGCTCTGTGGTGGTCCTTTGGGGGTCCTAATCATTGAAGAACAGGGAAAAGGGGGCTAACACAGTGTGCAGAGAAACAGATGGACTACAGTCTGTAATTGTAGAACTGCAAAGTGCACCTATATAGTAAGTGGAGCTGATAAAATGGACAATGAGTGTAGAAACAAGGTAGGTCGGTGTATGTATAACCTTTTATCATGGCTTATGATATCATGATATTACGTTTTTTCCACACTGGGTTCAATAACACATGGCTTGAGTTTAAACAGAGATTGCAAGAAACACTCAGGTTACATTTTTTTACTTTTTACAAACTGAGTTCTAAAGTAAGTTCAGTTTACTTCTTTCACATGCAGTTTGTGACTGTAAACGTACATGTATTTGTGAGACTGAGCATTTTTTCCTTCTCTAAGCTGGGTGGGATGAGTTTTCATTTTTTTGAGGGAGAAAAAAAAATCTCTGATTCACCTTCTGCCATGCTGTGGCTGTTGTGATTGTGCACAAGCTCCTCAGAAGAGCGACTGTGACACGTGATCAGAGCGTGACAGCATAGTAGGAGTTTGTGAAAGCAGAGTTGATCTGCCTGTCTAAGCAATCTCAGGAGAAACTGTAGCTAGTTTGACTAAAGTGCAGCGACGGTATTTCGAATGGCCCCCGTTGCCATTTGCATTTGAAATCGGGGTATACCAAATTACAGAATACCAGCAGGTCTACTTAGAATTCATGAGTTTATAAGTATAGCATATGAGGGCCACACCTATGGGAATTTTGTCACTTGTGTGATTTACCATCTCATTGTAGCTCTTACTACTGCATCACTTTTTATCAGTCTGACAGGAAACAGAACTTTAGTTTATAAAGTTATATGATAGTTAGTCACAAACACTACGTGTTTACATGCATTAATAATCCGATAACTGCGGAAAATCAGATTTTGTCAGGAATTCGATCAACACATTTACATGCAGTTGACTAATCAGATAATGGGGAAACTCCAGGCCTACACAAGTCAAACAATAATCGGATTTCTGCTTTGCAACCAGCCAATATACTCACAGAAGAAGATGTGACGTAAATGTAATGTAAAATTCAAACTTCATGGCTTTTTTTTAAAAACATTGCACTTTTTTAAACATTTCCACTTCACCTGAAAATATGAACAAACATCATCTAGAAGATGAAGAATATTTAAGTCTTTCATTTCATCAAGTACATAGTTGGTTTCAGCTCCAAAAGTGTTTTGCTCTCGCAGCAACGCTGCTTGCTTATTTTCACTGTTTTCGAGCATGCTCAGAATGAGAAATCCGAAAGAAATCTGAGTAAGAGTTTACATGCACTGAGAAATCTGATTACTCAGCTAAAATCCAGCTCTCTTCATCGGATTTCTGAATCAGATTTCTAGACTTTACTCCAATCATAATCAGAAAACTGCAGAAATCCAATTATGATCAGATTACTGAGTGCATGTAAACGCACTCACTGTGACAACAAAGAGCCTTTTGGAGCAGGGGGTAGTCTCTGTACTGAAAAACAAAAGTGAAATCCGGTACACATCGTGGTGTACAAATGCAGGTGTCTTTTTGTTGTAGCACCATAACAGCCAGCACATACACATCATGCAGGGATGGGGAAATGGGGGTGCTGAAACTGCAACTGTTAAAAGTTATTTTTAAAAATAATAAAACAACTGAATTTAAATGTTTTGCACATAGCATAGGGGTTTGTGTGCTTGTTTTAGTGTGGCATTGGGTTTTTTGATGTTCTGTTTTATATGTTACATTCAGTTATGTTATATTTTCAAAATCTGCATAAGCCATGCAAAGTTTTAATTGATGCGGCATTTTCATTTTTATTCATCGCTTCCCTTGTGAACTTTTGGTCGTTTTGGGAGCGCGTCGCTTATGTGTCCACAGTTAAATGTATGCAGTGTATTCAAATGCACTTGACTAGTGATGCACAACTCCAGGTTTTCTGAAGTCGACTGCCACAATAGTCGAGGGAGTCAAGACCTCGCTCCACTTCATCTTAACTGAGACAGCACCAGAGCCAGTGATAAATGGATATAGACCAACCTAAACGTTTACACAATTATGAGTAGCTACAGACTATAATTACATGAAAATTATTGATTATACCCAGACCCAGAATCGTCAACTTATTGGCCCCTGGGCACAAATGTTTAGTGGGCCCCTGCCTGACTACCTACATTACATGTTAAGACACATTCTGTTTGATGTGAATTATTCGAAAAATTCAAATGAAAGAAAATTTAGGGATTGCAATTTAGGTCTTGTATTACCTTCCAAAGCAAAGTGATGTGTCTCTGTCCTCTCTCATCTACTGGCTGGATGTGTCTCCATAGCTCCGGGGCAGTTGATGGGGCTGAGGGAAAGAAATATACATAAAATAAACTTTAGGAAATGTAGTTATTTCTGACAATAACAATAGCATGGTTTCATTTCATTTGAAAGTGAAGAAACTGTCAGAAGTGCAGACACTAAACTCTAAACTTTCAGTTGATACCATATTTGTGGTACAAGCGCAAGAAGAGTACAAAAAGTTGTTTCACAGGTTTTCAAACTAGAACCACAAAACGCTGCAAGATCATAGAGCCTATATGGGAATGGGGCACTTGTGTTTTTGGGACTAACTGCATGTGTGGTTTTTGTACAGCATTCATTCAAACATATTTTTTTCCATAGGAAATGAGTGGCAGGATGTTCAGAAATTTCAAATCTTAACATACCACAGCAAACAGCCTAGCAACACCTTAGCTATTACCTAGGACACCATAGCAAAGCTTAGTACCCACCTGGAATACCTTAGCAACAATCTAGCCACACTTTAACAACTATCTAGGATAACATATCAACGGCCTACCAAAACCTTAGCAACCAGCTGGGATACTATAGCAATGGCCTACCAACATCTTAGCAACCACTTGGGATTTCATGGCAACAGCTTTGTCAAGTAAACCTAAAGTTTGTTCATAAACCTCTCCCTTTCAGTTACAAACTGAATTTGAGTTTGAGTTTTTGAACTTTTTCGTGGGATAACTCTTGAGAAACATCCTTTACATTTTTGCCATGTTTTTCTCAAAGTTCTACATTGAAAACATCAGATGTTCAGACAGTGTTTTCTTCCTTTTTCCAACCATTTGCTCTCTCCATCCCTCCATCCTCGAACAGCCCCTCCTCACCAGCCTCTGCTGTGGTGGCTTCTCGGACAGCGCTCCAGGAGCTCCAGTGCTTGGGGGCTCTACTGTTCTGTGCTCGGACCCTCACGTAGTGCTGGGTACCTGGATATAACCCACATAACTCCATCTGCCAGTTGTGAAGGGCTGTGCTGACTGTCCAGGACCGGTCCTGAAGAAAAAAGGAAAAAACAGCTGCTGAGTGCAAAAAACACAAAAACTGGTTATGTTTCATCTCAGTCCTTAGCTGCACCAGGAAAAGATTTGATTGCAGTGATTTGACTGTAGATGCAGGACTCTGCTACAGTGCCAGTGCCACAACTTGCATGACAGCAGCCAGAAATTTGTCCCATTCTTAAGTGAACTGTGGTTATATTTGTTAGGTCATAAACCATCGTAAAATGAGTTAACCATGGCTACATTTGTTAGGTCATAAACTTCCAAAAAAAAACGTTTACTGTGGCTATATTTGTTAGGTCATAAACCTTTGTAAAATTAGTTAATTGTGGCCATATTTGTTAGGTTATAAATCTACATAAAATGAGTTAACTGGCTATATTTGTTAGGTCATAAACATTTGTAAAACAAGTTAACTGTGGCTGCATTTGTTATGTCGTAAACCTTTATAAAATAAGTTAACTGTAACCATATTTTTTAGGTCATAAACCTCTGTAAAATTAGTTTTAACTGTGTCTGTGTTTGTTAGGTCGTAAACATTTGTACAATGAGTTAACCATGGTCATATTTATTAGCTCATAAACCTTCTGAAAATTTGTTAACTGTGGCTGTGTTTGTTAGGTCGTAAACCTTCATAAAACTAGTTAACTGTGGCAACATGTGTTAGGGTGTAAACCTATGTAAATGAGTTAACTGGGTATATTTGTTAAGTTGTAAACATTCATAAAACAAGTTAACTGTGGTTATATATTGTAAAATGAGTTAACCGACCTTAAAATAAGTTTACTGTAACTATATTTGCTAGGTCGTAAACCAAGTCAGGAATCCAAACTTGAAGTTGAATTTGCTTTGTGAGACAAGCTTTATGCCATGTGAATGTTTGCTTGCTAAAACAAAATGTAATGCAATGTAAAGTTTATTGTAATTGTGTAAGAGTGTGAAGAAAGCTCAGGTGCTAAAACAGCAGGTATTTGTTATGTTCATACCTGATGAGGAGTGTTGTACTCTATCTGTAGGATGCTATGGTCCTTTTCAGATTGCAAGTAGATGTCTTCAGTCCACTCCAGCTTCAGACAGTGGGCTTTCATTGGTATCATAACAAGTTTTGTGATCCGCGGAGGATACATCTTAACTGCTCAAAATAAAAGTGATGAGAGAAGGATTAATGCTTATAGAAGCCAAATCCCCTTTACTGCTTCAAGATTACGTCTTTTGAATAGTGCAAGGATCACACCGTACATGGCAGCAAAGCCAGCTGGGGTGAGTGAACCTCCAAAGAGATCTAGCCCCAAGCATCACATCTAAATACATTCTTAAAAATTAAGGTGAAAAAAGTTTTTTTGAAGCAATATCAAAATAAAAGTGTTTAAATGCTATTTTGTGCCAGTCTCAGGTGCAGATTGGACAGTTTCTACTTGTGTGTTATGTACAAAAGTACCACAAGCCTAAAAGCACAGTAAATGTGTTTCTCGTTCTTTAGCATATGCACTTGAGGGAGGGCCATGTGAAACACTGGAAGATTACGCAAAACATGGGTGAAGTGATTGCACATCACACTAGACTTACTAAAGTTTGAGCAACTGACTTTGTTTTTCTCCACCTTTCAAAACTAGACGTAAAATTGGTTTTAGGCTCTCAAAAGGCGAGTTGTTGAGAGACTTCCTTTAACTATGGCAGTAGATGGATTGGTTAGATGGAGGCGTTAGTCTCAAACACATTTTGAAATAATGTCTCCCACCAGATTAACTCTGTTTAAATTCTCAGGGCCAGATGTACGTACGCAACAAGACACTGCGCAAAATATGCCATCATACACCTGGAATATGCGTCCCCAAACCATCTTATCCGTTAACCCCTTAAATGCCTAGGGACAAAGTAGGCCCAAAGTTTTATTAGATACTTTTATAATCTAAGAATAGCTCAGCCAGTTTGCACTGAAGTTCCCCATAGTTACTGAATAATAAGACTTAGCATGTAAAAAGCCTGGGATTTTAAGGGGTTAACAGACTCTATTTTCTTAATTGGAATAAAACAACACTACTGTAGAAAATTTTTGGTGGGGTACAACTTCATTAATTAACATTGCTATCTCTTCATCACTTCATTTTCTGTTTTGTCTCCAGCTTGTTGACGGCTCACAAGCAAACAGTTTAGTGGGCCTAGCTAAGCTGCAGTCCTAGTAAATTGAACGTAAATGTAGTTATGTTATAAATGAAGTCTGGGGGGAGGATGATGCCTGAAGCCCCTCCTTCTTCCAATCTAACACCCTATAAATTCACATCCTCACCTTCCGTTCCCGTGAAGAACGGTTTGTAGTCCCCACCACCATCTCCTCCCTGTTCCTGAGTCCTACTACTGCGAAATTGGGGGGGATCTGGCCTTCTAGCTACAGGCAGAAACTGCCCAGAACTCCAGCCCAAGTTCTCAGAGTTGTCACAAAATTCAAGCAAGTCATGGCATATACTGGGGTCACATTAGGGCACATTATGCAGTGCGCCTGCACTCGGAAGTACATCTGACCCAGAGTCACAACATTTCACAGACAGAGAGCCAACACTGTCCTTGTTAATATGTCATTGAGTTATTCTAAATATTCATTAGAGGGTATGCAGAAGGAGGCTACAGGAATACGCCAATGCTTTTCAACCAAATCTTTTTCTGTCCATCTGTAGCATAAGGTTGCTTGTCATGGACAATAATTTCAACGTTTCACTGTACAGAAAACCCCACTGACTGAAAACACACTGGCTTCTATTATGAGTGAGTTTTGAGTCAGCAAGTTTTCTGTTTTATTACGTACAGGGAAAAGCATGTAAATTTTTGCCTGCAGTGATTGACACTATGCTCTAATAGGTTGAAGAACCTCTCACTGAAAGGTTCTTCAGGCAACCAAAAGTGGTTATTCTGTGGCATCGCTCCAAAGAACCCTTTAGGCACCTTTATGCTCTAAGAATGCAAATTTGCAAAGTTATTTTGATGAAGCTATAATACCTTCATTGATCCCAATGAGGCAGTGACGAGCTGATCTAGCAGTTTCAGATGGAGAAGATGCCAGCACATCCACACAGAAGCAGTGAGACACCGACCCAATGTTCACTGAACAATGAGTGCGTGTTGTGTAGCAGGAGCCCATGGGCATGTAATTTGTGTAATTCAAACAATACGTCCTGCAAAGACATGAAAATAACAGCAGCTAGCAGCTCAATATAGAGTCACAACATTTACACACAGAGCCAACAGTGTCTTAGTTAATCTGATAACAGAGCTACATATATATATATATATATATATATATGTAATTTAATTTAAAATATTCTAGTCTATTTCCATTCTGCTGGTGAAAAGGTCACTAGAGGGCCTGCAGAAAAGGGTCAGACATTCATTTGAACACTCTATGCTAAATATAAGTAAAGACACAGTAAAGACACAGTGTTTGATACTTCCTGTTGGAAGTATCAAAAGATAGCAAAAAAGGAATGAAAAACAAGTTCATAGAGCCAATTTAGAGTTTGAAAGAGCTCAGTCTGAGTTAATCCCTTAAACCAGGGGGCTCAAATTCCTGTCTAGAATCCAGTACAATTTGATGATTTTGGCCTCATCGGTGGACCCCAGCCATTTAAGGGGTTAATGCTGGTGTTTGAACAGTAAAATCACCAAACTGGCACTGGCCATCCAGGACTGCAGTGCTAAACCCCCTATGCAACTTATGTATTTGTTTGGCAGTGGCTACTAAAGACTTTATAGTGGTTTCTGAATAATTAACACAGGCATCAAAGGACTAGCTCAGATTGCACTCAAACTCAAAACTGACCATAAAAATTCAGTTTCAGAATCAAACTGTTAAACTCAGAATTGACTTTAAGAAACTGTTTCAACCTTTTGAACCTCTTGAATCCCAAACTCTTGAACCAGTGTGTAATATGTAGTGGCATCAATAGGTGAGGTTGCAGATTGCAGCAAACTGTGTACCCCTCACTCACCCCTCCCTTTCCAAGTGTGTAGTAGAACCTACGGTGGCCATCAAGTTTTCTGCTATCGCCTGTCCCAATTTTGATTTGCTTCTTTATATTTTCGCTTCTTTGACGAGGATTCATTCTCCCTTGTTTTTTGTGCTAAATAATAAATGTGATCCTTTATTTGTCAAAATTTGGGTTCTCAAACTTCTCACAAAACAAAATGGTTAGTCAGCACTGGCAGCAACCACTGATTCTTCTTCTTTATACGTCTTTCAACTGGTGTTGTAGCGCCACATAAAAATGCAAAAGGCGCTATTTAGAGCCAGTGTCTGGTTTGTCTGTTTTGGGCTACTTTAGAAACATGGCAGCGCAACATGACAGCCTATATTGGAAGAGGACCCGCTCCCTATGTAGATACGAAATGCTCATTCTAACCTAATGAAAACACAAGGATTTGTTACAGATGATTATACAATAATGAAAACATGTACACTATATTCCATTTCTGCTAATAGGTTCCCCTAAATCTTTCACACTGCACCTTTAAGATTCATCATTTAGTAAGTTACTATTCTGAAATATTCAGTAACTGCAACGAAACTGATATATAAGTTGTGTGGTTATGAGACTGAGGAGCTGAAGTGTGGGCCACATATAGACCTTTCAAGTTTAATCAAGTCCAGCCAGGTTTAACTTTCACTACAATCAATTCACAGCAATTTACAGTGCAGTAAAAAGGTCTGTGGCATAATTGCTCCTCCATTCCCCACCCAGTCAAGTTCCCATTAACCACCAAATCGTGTTCTTCACACTTGATGCTTAGGCATTAATTCGCCTGCGCACTTAATGACGCTCACTTTTGGCAACATCAAATCCTTTCGTGCAGTCGGAGCCTTGCTTATTTCCTGTTTGACTAGTTTGATCTGACTGTGTGAAGAAATGCACTTTATGTACTTTGACACCAAACCTGTTTGCACTGCACAAAATACATCCCGTCAAGTGAATGCATTATATAGACAATGTAGCTTCTACTTCTTATGATATTTTTTAAGACTATTCAAACTATTTTAGTTTTTACTTTTGCTGATATAAAGTGACATTATCAAGTAAGATGACCTCACTGCTCTGGCAGATCACTTTACTTCCTTCAAAAACAATTTCTTGAAACAAGTAAAACTATCTGGCAGTGCAGGGTGATCACTTTACTAGATTAAACCACTCAATCAGAAGTAAAAGTAGACTAAAATAGGTTGAATAGTCTTATAACATTCTCTAAACAATCTCATCATGAGGAATCATGAGAGAGATATTGCTTAAACCACGATTTTGCTGTGTACTCTTTGATTTGCATGTTTGATAGGGGAAGTCCACCAAATTTTCTACATTTCTGGATAATTCTGACACTGAGATGTAAATAAAGTCAACAAGAGTGGAAACCTGTCGAAGCAGAATTCTTCACAGTGGCAAGTGAATAATAAGCCTTAGTATGTAATAAACAAGAAATTTTACGTTGAATGATAATAATTAGTTAAAAACAAAAGTGTATCATGTCATGCATCATGTTATTTCCTATTAGTTCCACCAGGACCCCTGTATTTGGCATCTTGCTCACACTTCTCATTTACAAAACTGATCTTCAAAGAACCACCAATGGAACGTTTCTCTGGGGAAGCAAAAGAGGTTCCTCGACAGTGGTAAAGAACTCCTCTGGCACCTTCATGTTAAGAGTGTCTATTGGGTTTTAGACCATTATCTGGAGTCCTTGTCCTCACTCATACAAAATATCAACAGATACTTTCTTATAAAGATTACAAAAATGATTTTGTTGGAACGGACCACTTTGGGTTCCCTGAAGACCCTTTGCATGGATGGTTCTTTCGAGAATCATTTTTGTTAATGAGATGTGTAAGTGTGGAGAACTTTTTCAAAAGTTTGAAGAACCTCAACGTACTTTAAATCTTTATTTTTAAGAGTGGTTATGTTCTTGCACCTAGTCAGGTTAACCGTTGACTGTTACAGGATGCTGTTATTGTTTACACATTCAAGAGACAAACAAAAACGAAAAAACGCACTTGTCTAAGGGGGAAGAATCCAAATTCAAAACCAGTTCAAAGGCGAGTTTTCCCACATTCTGTCCATTCAATCTACGCACCTGAATGTTGAATAACACTGTTAAACCGTAACGCTGCTGTCACGGAACACTGAGCTTGATCATCCAGCCACCACTTAAAGAGTCATATCTACCGCTGAAGGCTTTGACCACAAGAGGAACTGCAACTGCATACATCACTTTGAATCCACAACACATAGTTTTTCAGTCAACTTCATGTAACAGGGTATGACAGAGTCAGACTGTCTCCTTTTCCAGCAGACATTCAGCAACAGTTATATGAAAAATAGACATTTCATTTGGCTGGAATCTTACATTTAATCACAGCATTAAAACACGTTTAATGGTTGATTTGGGTTTGGCTCTTCCCCTGCTTCAGATCCAGCAGCCTGTCTCGCCCCTTCTAAAGAAGTATTTGCGTGTTGTGGTGCTCCTCAGATCATATATAGAGAACAAATATATATATATTCATATTTGTTCTCTCATTGAGTGAGGAGGTTGGTTTGGGTAACTTCTTGGTGGGTCAATTCAAACATCTTCAAAGCCCACACTTTGGACAGCCCTGCCTTAGATTACTGAAAACGAGGGGCTGGCAATATAACAATGTTATCATTATCATGATATACTACGTCATGAGAAACTTTTCCGAGTATATCATGAGTGTCATCAGTACTTACAGAACGCTGAACCACTGCATGACCAAAGAAAAACAGATTTAGACCAATTACAGAGAGCCCTGTAAACAACAGCAACCAGTGTACAGTTCGGGCCCTTACACACTGATTTATTTGAACGACAAATAATTAATTGGAACACATGCGTAACTGATATCTTGCCCACTAAATGGCAAAAATATATTCTTTTATTCGCCTGTTTAATTTTTGAGAACATTCCTCAGCGACATTAACTCTCCAGCCAGTCACGGTCGTCTCAGTTGTTGGCATGGTGAAAATCAAGACCCTTTTTTTGGAAATGCTGAATTACAAAAAAGACAACTACCTTTTTCTACTCTTTGCTGGAATATTTGGTCTGTTCCAATTTGTAAGCATCAGAAAAAAATAAATGCCTTGATACACATTAAGTGAAAGTGCCATATCGCTCACCCTTAGACGAGACCACAGACAGGAAGACTGTTTCCAGTTTCCTGTCACAAATTACTTCACATTAGCAAAAGTTCTGCGTCTGGTTTCAGTAAAACATACATGGAGTAAATGCTGTTAAATATAACAAATTCCTGTGAGGTGTATTAAAAATAGCAAAAAAGGAAAGTAACAATGTGCTAATGAAAGAATTTTAGGTCACAGTGTTTTTCAGCAAACAGGGGTTGCTAGAAGTGCAAGATTGATCTGCAAGTGTGAAACCACACCATCGTACGTTTTCACACCTATCATAGGGAGTGTGTCATAACATCATAAAACGTCTTCAGAGACCTCTTAAATCTCCTCTAACATATCTTACAAACAGAAAAAGTCTCAATCAAAAAGTCCCGATAGCGGCTCAGTTAATGTAAAAAAAAGATTTGTTGGAACAATAATCAGTGTGTTACTCTCTGTTAACTTATTATCTGAAGCTTAATAAAATACAAATCTGAAGGCAGCCAGGTTAACTTACTTTTTTAAGTTAAAACATCTAAACATTAAAAAAAAAAAACACAATTTGACAGCATGCCTGTTTCAATGTGCTGAAATGTATAATATTCACTTGTACTTTTTAAAGACGTCATTAATGATTACCCCAGTTTATATTGTGAGTGAACATTTGGATGCATTTAAGCACAAATTTGCAAACATGTAACAGAACTTTTATAGCTCTTTCTTTTATAGCTCTAGTTTGGGCGCCCCTGGTTCAAGTTACACGTTTTGTTGATTTTCTGAGTGAATATAAATTGAGCAAATTTGCGATAAATAGCAAATAAATCAAAATTGTGCATAAAAATTAACAGAAAAATGTCATATTTATGTCTTTTCCCACTAAAGGATGGGAATAAATCTTTGTATATGTTTCTGTCTACAATATCCAGTTTTACAAAAAGAATGTAACATGATGCATGATATGATACACTTTTGTTTTCAGCTAATTATTATTATTATTTTATTTAAAATCTCAGGCTTATTACATACTAAGGCTTATTGTTCAGTTATTACATGGGCTACGATGCATAATTAATGTATATTTGCTGAATTTAACAAAATAAAACATGAACATTTGGGATTAATGAACTATCTATCTATCTATCTATCTATCTATCTATCTATCTATCTATCTATCTATCTATCTATCTACCTACCTACCTACCTACCTACCTACCTATCCATCCATCCATCCATCCATATCCTAACCTGCATGTATGTCTCCTGCACTCACCACAACTTCTCTAGCGATTAGTGAAGTATGAATGTATGTATCTATCTATCTACCGAAACTCTACTCTTCATGCATGTCTGACGCGTCCCATAATAAAGGTTTTACACCATCTGCACAAGCAGATGCACAAAACTGGGAGCGTTACTCAGCGAACTATCCTAAAATGAAGAAGAAGAAAAATCACATTTGGTGTCTGAGGTTTCTTGTTTAGTTATGCCCTGGAACTACGAGGCTAATGTAACTAGCGTGGAAGCTTATACCTCATTAATTAGCACTGTGCAAACTGCATTCCTAAATCATCATAAACCTGCCTCAAACTGTGTGTAATCTTTAACAGACCTGGTTTTTGACACTGTATGACAACTCAATGTGGTTTGATGTAGGTATTTAATCTGCACAATGTTAATTTGTGGAGTATTAGCTTTCATTACTTATTATCTATAGGCTTGTGTTTCCAGTGCAAAGCTAAAGAGCAAACTTCAGTCACCAGACCCTGTCCAGGCTGATCGTCTACATTTGAGTAAGTGAGAAATCCAATGATTTTTTTTGCCAAACTATCACTTTAAGGAGGTGAACAAAGTTCATTGGAGTTCAGCCAAGAACTTTGTATATAAGGCTGCCTTATTTTGAACCACTCATTTCACTAAGCTGTGAAAAAAGAAAAGGCAAACAGCCCAAAATGGTTCAGTGAAAGCATTTCAATAGATTTAATGCATACACAGCAAACAGAAGGAGTTTATGGACTGATTCTTACATGTTGACTGACAGCTTGTAGCTGGTACCCTCCGAACTGACCGCCGTCCAGTAACAGGTGATGTTTGCATGCTCCAAGAGTTCACAGTGTGTAACAGTGGGTGCTGGAGACGAGGCTGAAAAAGAATAAAAGAAAAGGAAATTTATTCATATGGTGTGACCAGACAACACAAGGATATATGCCATATAATGGCCGTATAGTGAATTCATAAACTTCTTCATAAGGCTTCTTTCAGCATAATAACAGAAGTTTCTAAGACGCTGATCTTCTCTTTTTGAATCCTTTTGGTCCAAAATAAAATGTTAAAGCTCCAAAATCAGAGGAGTGATTAATTACAGAGCAGTGCAGATGCTGCAACCAAGATAACATAATAAATTAAAACAAAAGGCATTTGTAAATAAATGTTAATGGCTAAAAATTTGCTTTCTTTTTTCTTTTTTTATACTTGAATAGAAGTAAAAGTAAATTTGTAAAGGTGCCAACCCACCTCTGCTCATATTATACATATATCATTGACATATTAACAACAACTACATAAAACCTACACTGGTAGAGCAGTTTTGTACAGCATATCAGCCTATTTAGCACAGAACTGCCAAGGCTGGGAAATTCAAATAAAGAGCGTCCAAAGGTTGAGCGTTTTCAGACACTGTTAGAGAGAACAGAGAGCAGCGTCAAAGCAATAACAGAGCTAATATGCCACAGAGGGATAAATCTACTATGTGGAACACACACGATTATAAGTCATAATGAGTCATAAACCCTCCCATTTAATTATTTCTCACTCATAGCTCATTAAAATAAGGACTTCTGTCAAAAGGGCGAGTAGACTCTTTCAATCGATACTGCATTTGTGGAGAAGGACCCATACTGTAGATAAATATGTATATTTTTATTTTCTCATATCAAAAATGTGCAACATGAATATAATATAGGGGACGTTTTCACACATAATAAATAGACGTAATAGTGCCAATTTTCAACATTTATAAGATTACAGATTTGGTCAATATTACAAATTACAAGAACTTTTATAGCTCTTCCAGGCTTATGCAAAAGTTTGGGCACCCCTGGTCAAGCTACATGTTTTGTTGATTTTCAAATGCATAATTAATGTTTATTTGCTGTATTTAACATATTTAAATATGATAAATAAAACATGAACTGTGGCCTGTGCAAAGGTTGTGGCATGTCTCATATTTTATACTTTATCCCCCAATATTATAAAACTCAGAAAAAAGAGAACAAAACATGTACTTCAATAAGGATTTTTGCATATGACTGTTTATGTGATTTGGTGAATCTGAACATTTTATCAAGTCAAGAGAGTTCACCAACTCTAAAAGTTCTTTTGGTACCAGTCTGAATCTGGGCATGGCCAAATCGCCAGGGCCCTTTTTCAAAGCACTGGCGTGACGACTCACCACTTTCTTCAGGAGACTGACACAAAGAAAATCTCCACTCTCTCTAAACTGCATGGAGCACTGATGCACAGACACGAAACGGAAACTTTAGTGTGGTCCACTTTGATGTGTGAACATCTATCTATCTATCTATCTATCTATCTATCTATCTATTAAAGGTGGTCTGGCAAAAGTTGTGGATCTGAGGCTGCTTCTAAGTGACTCCTGCTTCAGTTCACTGCTTGGGGAAATTCATTTTTATGAAGGTCCACACCAAACGAGGGAATTTAACTCCAGAGCACGCTCTCCTCAGCGCACATCAGTGCTGTATGTTAACGTTTTGCTCTTTACAAACACTCAAGCTGCAGCTAATAACAGCAGACGAGCAGTAAAATAACAGCGAAAATTGTGGCATCAGTACAGAAGAAGACGCAAGAGAGGCCACTATTTCTGCCACAAGAAGTGCTTTTTCATTTACACTAGCAGAAAGGTACATGGAGCATTGGGTGGGCGCAACAGTATGTCTTTTGATTTTGGCACATGGGTCACGGAACATATCTTTGATCAAGTATCATCAACCTGATTGGTTAATTTCCAACTGGTAAAATCTTATAAAAGCAGATATTAAAGTAAGGTTTACTATTATCGCTTTGATTGTTATTCACATTGAAGACAAGCGTCTATATTTTCTGTTTTTCTGTTTTTATGGTGGTAAATGTGACAGAATGTAACAGAACGCTTGCGTCCCTACAAAATTACTGACTAATAAATGAATACCTACATGTACAAACTGGTGCACTTCAACTGTTACAGTGTGAACCCAAACAAACCGAATGAAAAAGATACATTACAAAAACTCCGATGCAGGCTTTAGAAATTAACTGGGTATGAAAACAGCCCAGTGTTCTTCAGATATGACAGCTAGTAGAGTTTGCTATCTGAACCTGAACCCAGTGAAGTGCAGGGTCAGGCATGCAGTGACCCTGTTCATCAGTAGGTTTATAGAGGTGTGTTATTAGCATAACATAGTTGCCTTTTGTCACTCAGCCAGCTGCACTTTTTTTGTATTATTATTATTATTATTATTACTAATAATATTATTATTGTTACTTACGTTTTGCCCCACCTGAATCTGGGTACACAAGCAAGAGCATGAAGAGGAATTTCACTTCCAAGCAAATCTACCCTATGGGCTATATTACATAATAACAAGCAGTGAATGGTGTACAATTTGAGCACTTTGTGTTAACTTTTTTATGGGGTGTGAAACAATCTGACACTCCAAGTTCTCTATGTCAGTCTGCCAATCCTTCAAATGCAGGTTACACCATCATTCATCCACACCACCACTCACTCTTACCTGAGCCCAGGATCATGCAGAGCCCACTTATCCAGGAGACAAATCCGGCCATGTTCCGAGTCTTTTCCTCCATCGCTTTTCTCCACCTTGGCTCATCGAAGAGCTTCAAGAGGTCTACAGAGCCATGAGGGCTGGAATAGCCTATATATAGGCTTTAAAAAGTTTACATCTTCTGTGTGTGTTAACTCTTCTTGAGGGCACAGCGTTTTCCGCTGTGTTGGTCACTTTTCCCCTGAAGAGGAGACGTCAATCTCAGCGGAACTCACCTTGGTGACTGAAGGAGAAATAAATATGAAAATGAGCCGATTCTCCCAGGGTTTCCTCTTTGGCGTCACGCTGAGCCTTCGGCACCACTGAAAAGCACACCTTCGCACTAAAGTCATAAACTAGAAGTGACCAGTGTCCGTGTTACCTGCACACGCTCCTGTACTCTGCTGCTAGTGCACAGAGCTGCTCGTAAAAGCGGCTCCTGCTGTTGCTGCACTGCCTCTTACTTCACCTTGTTCACAGCAGGACGAGCGTGGAGCTGTGGGCAGGTCCTACAGGCTGCGCTGAGGACTTTCGTTTCCTCGCTGCATCGCAGGGCGCGTATTTTTCATACCCACAGGACGGAGAAGGTTCCCTTAGTTGTTACGGTTTGCCTCAGGGCTTATTTGTACTAAAACAGCCCCGCACCTGCCACTTTCCTAACATTCCACCTGCGTGTCTACCTCTCTCTGTTTGTGTGGGTTTGCAGGACGACTGGAGTAGCGCGGCTTGTAAACAAAGTTAGTCAGAGAGCGCTTATGCTAAGCTAACTACCGTCTCCTTCAGCTTCGGCTTCAGTCTGACCGGTTTTAATGCCAAACCAAGTTCGACAGCGAGTCAGAGCTGTTTGGTGAATTAAAGAAGTGTCGCTTTCTTTCACTCTTGTTGGAGAACAAAGTCATATCTTAAAGAGAAATTCACTTTTTTGCATAATTCCGTTGTTGCGATGTGAACAAAGTCATTGAGTGGTTTGATGTACAGGTGTTAACAAAGTTGCAGACTCAGTTTTCTTTACAGTGGTGCTGATAGGAACCAGGGGTCACAATGTCTACAACACAAATATAGAGATTTTATTTACTGTCCTAAACCACCAGGCAACCTACACGTCTTCTGAGTTTTTATGTACGCTCTTAAAAACAGATGGTTCTTCAAGGGTTCTTTAGCAAAGAAAATGGGTCCATACAGAACCATGAACACTCAAAGAACATTTTGCATGCTAAAAAGAGTTATTTGCATCATAAGTTGGTTCTTCTGATATGATGGAGAATGTGCATGAACGTGCTACAGATGGTTCTATATAGAACCTTTTTGAAAAGGGTTCTAAACTGCACCCAAAAGGGTTCTTCTATTGTTTCAAGTCTGATATCGTAACAATGCACTGCAAAAATGGTATCTTGTCAAGTAAAATGATCTTAAATATAGTCAATAAATCTAATATTTCTCCTGTTGATATTGTTGTAAGCTTAATTTAAGATTATTTAACTTATTTCTAGGCATTTCGTACTTGTTTTAACTGATTCTATAAAGTAAAATATCTCACTATATTGGCAGATGATTTTGCTCGTTTTAAGAAATGAGAACCATTTTCTTTGCTAAAGACCCCTTGAAGAACCATCTTTTTTAAGAGTGTAATGATGATGATGGTTACACAGTGGAAAATCTGAAAAAAATTAGTTTTCTTTGGGGACTGTTTTGCCTACATTTGTACCCCTTCTCTGCCCTTAATGGACTGAAATAAATGGTTTAACAAGACGTTTAAGGCCACAACTTTATCACAAAACTTAATTGTAAAACAACGTCTCATCATTCATCAGGCTGAATATTCATAACCATTTCATGTAACAACTTTCTCTGAGGGAGCTTTGAGAGGTGGACATCTGGTTCCTATCACCACCACTATAACAATTCCAAAGTTTGTCTAGAACGGAGCATCTCACACCAGACCACCCTGAATGACTTTACATCGTAACCATTTAATTATATAGAAATTATGAAAAATCAGTGGAGTTTACACTTTTCCATAATTCAGTACGTGAGATATAAACAGTCATTCAGAGCGACCTGAATGTTTGATTGTAGAGGGTCTTACCAACTCTTTATCACTTCCTTACACTGGTGCTGATAGGAACCAGGGGTCACAATGTATACAATACAAACACAGCCATTTTATTTACTGTCCAAAACTACCAGTGAACCTACATTCCTCTTCTGAGTTTTTATGGGTAATATTGATAATGGCAATAGTAATAAATCTGAAAAAAAAACTTTTCTTTTGGGGACTTGGGAATCTTCCTTTGTAACATCCTCAATACACACCCTTTAAAAAAAGGGGTTCTTTCCTAACGGTTACATATAACTGTGGCAATTCAAAGAACCATCTGGATGCATAAATGTTTCTTTGACTGGATAAACGGTTCTTCTCTATGATGGAAAACAATAGCTAAGATATCAGGCATTGTACCTGTTATCATTTCATGTAATGTAAGGGAGCTTTAGAGCCATTTAAGGGGAATTCCTACATTTTTTTCTACATTTCCACATAGTAAGATGTAGATAAAGACATTCAGACTGGTACGGTGTGAGATGCTCCATTCTAGAGAAACGTACTGAGTCAGAATTGTTCACAGTGGTGGTGATAGGAACCTGGCGTCTGAAGACTTTAATGCCTCTAAAATCTACCTTACAGAAAGTTACTACACAAAATGGTCAAGAATATACTGTCTGATGTCAGAGACATCATTTTACAATAGATTTTAAATAATGTTTTGGCCTACATTTTATTAAAATATGTAGGTACATGCAGGTTTATAGCTAAATAATACCCAAAGCATAGACTCACTTTTACCATTATCAACATTACATATAAAAAATCAGAAGGCATGTGTAGGTCCACTGTAGTTTTTGGATAGTAAATAAAATGCATTGTAGACATTGGGACCCCTGGTTCCTATCACCACCACTGTAAATATTCTCCATATTCTCATGATATCTGAAGCTTTATATGTCAACATTAAAACAAAAAAAAACAATATTATTAACAGGAAATACATATGTGTATGCTTTGTAATGTCCACAGATAATAATCACATAAAGATTTGAAAGCTATGTACTTTTTCAGTATGAACAACCATCCTGCTGAAATATTTCTTATTTTTTTCAGTTCTACATTCTATGAATATCATACTTGGACTGTTCATTTATATCCATGACCTACCACTGCAGGTAGAATCCTTTCCTTGAGATCTCATGAAAAATAATAACAATAATTAAAACAAACAAACAACAAACTTGCTACAGCATACTGAGGGTTGTGAATTCAAATATGAGCTTATGACATATTTCATCCCTGTTTAAGATCATTGACTGACTGAGTATGCAGTGATAGGGAGAACATTTAAAGTTGACATTGGCACACAGTGTTGGATTTCAACTTACAACTTGTGGTTACAGATTCAAGGAACTGAATCTGTACTATAACAAGCAGTGCAGAATGTTTGTGGGCTGCGTCTAGTGTCGCAAGACCTTGAGGACATTTTTCACAACTAACCAACACTAACACAGAGCTTGACATTAACATGAGACATAAACAGTGCGACAAGTGAAAATTTGTGTTGGACAGGTAAATACGCACAAACAGGATAGTAAATTCTTTTACACAACAAAAATTAATGCATTCTTAGAAGAGTGAAAACTTAAAGAATGAGCATTTCGGCATATACCTCAAATGTGTAGATTTCCCAACAGAGTAGCCTACTGAGGCCTGAGTGTAGTGGTTACGAAAGGCTTCACTTCAGCAGCCGCAGCTAAGCTGATCAATCTGAATGGTTTTTGAAACCTCCAAAATCTGACCAAGTGCCAGATAAAGCTCCAAAAAGAGTCAGTGCATGGGCTAATGCTACTGACAAAAATGTATAGACCTCTGAAGTTGTGCATCATTCTGTAATCAGCGTTATGCCCATATTAGCAACTCTGAGTCTAAGCTGGATTTCTCTATGGCAAAAATGAATGGGATTCTCAAAAATCATTGTGATCATGCCTCATAGGTACAGAAAAAGGTTCTAAAGCTAATATGTTTTGTCCTCCGTACATTTTTCCTCTGAATGTCACTGGATCCTCTCACTTAAGAAATCATTAAGGAGTCAAAATATTAATATTGCTACATCCGTGTTAAAAGGGGCCTGTTATGCTTTTCCGGTTTTCCCTTTCCTTTAGTGAGTCATTTGGGTTTTTTGCATGTAATCTGTCACAAAATACACACCAGAGGGAGTAACTCTCTCCCACAGAAACCAATTTTCTCAGCTGCCTGAGACACCTTGTTGGAATTTCAGTCTTTTTCCTTTGTTACAAGATCTTAAGTTCAAGTTCTTAACACAATCCTTATTGCCTGCCTACTGGAGGAGCGGCTACTGGAGGAGAAGAGTTTATTCAATTTTGCAGCCACGTTGAGAAGACACTGACCTGACTTTCAGGATCTGACTCAAGCAGATATGAACTGACACCACTGTAAAAATAACCACATCGGTGTTTACAGCTGCTCAGGAGAGGAGTCTCACTGCAGACTGCAAGACAGGGGCGGAACAAGTTGGGGCGGAACTGCTCTGGCAGCTGATCAATCAGAACAGAGTGGGTAAGCTGACCAATCAGAGCACACTGGGCTCATTTGGAGGTGGGGCTTAAAGACACAGGAGCTCTAACAGAACATTTCAGACAATGTGAATAGAGATGAACAGTATGAGAAAAATAGTTTTTGGAATATTGAAGCATGTAAATCTAGACCCCAAAAATAAAATTATGAACATTGAAAATGAGCATAATAGGTCCCCTTTAATAGCAAAAGCTACCACTCCTGCATACTGAAATGATGCCATATGAAGGTAGGTCTACTATTAAATTTTAACACTATTATATAATAATACCAGCTACTCCTACTCCACTTTAGCAACTTAACTACTACACTGGACAAAGCTTGCTGGTTTGTTTAGAGTGTTTTAATGCATTTGCCTATCTTATGATATCAATTCAGTGCACAGCAGTGTTAGCTTGCATGCAGCAAAATTAATCTTTCAGCTCCTTAATGACCTCATAATGCAGAAGATACAGTGACATTCAGAGAAAATATGTACACAAGACAAAATGTATGAGGTTTGGAACCATTTTGTTAACCACAGGGTGAGATAGCAAGTTTCTGATATGGGCATGTCACAACGACTTCAGTAGCTTATGCAGACCAATCAGCTTAGACCTCATTGGCCTGACACTGAGTTATAATGCCTTGTGATGTGCCATTAGTCTCAAATAATCCAGCCATCATGAATGATGGAGTGCCCCAGAGTTCTGTACTTGGTCCCCTTCTTTTCACATTATACATTTCATTCCTCGGTTAGATAACTCTTTCTGCTCTTCACCTCAATAAGCTAATAAAGAACTTGATTTACTAACTTGCTTGTGGTTCCACACACACAAGTGATTTGTAATTTGGTTATTGGTAGATTGAATCTTTGAAGTGGGACAAAGTGAAGCTTATGAGGTTTGTGATGTTTTATAAACAGCCTTGGCAGCATGAATTACATGACTGAACTCATAGGCCTCATAGGTCTTTAAGTGGGGTTATGAAGAGCTCAGATGCATCTGAGGTAACAACAATATTTTAAACATAATTATAAGCAGAGTTTAAGTCATCAGATTGATGCAGTGGAGGTTTAAACAGCTCGTTCCTCATTAAGTTCCAATTCCCATCCACCT